ACGCGCACACACGCACACGCGTGTGCATTCACAAATAACTGTGATATCACATTCAAAGTCAACAGTAGTCAAACAGGTGGCATCAAATGAGTTTGAGTGCTGTTGTTCCCCCCACTTGCAGCTGTATTTAATGTGCCACAGGGCAGCTGTGCGAAATGGATTTTTTATGATTCAGAGTTTGCACACACACACACACACACACACACACACACACACACACACACACACACACACAGGCATAAATAAACACACCTTCACACATAGTTTGCACAGGTTTAGAGTCTTGGCAGGCAGGTGGCTGTGTGTTGAAATGCAGTAACAACATTATTACGCATTTGGCAAAATGCTGGCAGTTCTTTCTTTCATGTTGGCTGTTGGAGGAGAGCACCATGCCAAACTCCATGATGCTGTTCAACTAATGTGGCTCTCCTTATTGGTAAAGGTGCGCACCTGGTTCAACATGACGGAGGCTCTTTCTGAACTGTCAGGATTTGCTCTTCAGTCAGTAAAAAAAAAAAAAAAAATAGAAATGTTTCTTTTTTTAATTTCGTAAACAAAAAGTCACAGATGTTAAGTTTTTATATCAACATTTTAGTGGAATCATATTGAAAAATAATAACATGATATGATCATGTTATAACAGATACCTGATACCTTTTAATTAATGAGGAAATTAAGTTAAATTTAAATAAAAACTAAGATTTTTTGGAGGTTTTAATTTTACATGTGTTGTCCGATATAATAATAAAAATATAATATATATATTTAATATGATAATAACAGGAATGACACAATGAGTATCTATATTGGAAACATATTTATACAAATATAGTGGTATTGGTTTCAGATATATTTGCGGGCTCTGCTTGTCTGTAGCAGGTTGCTGAAATAACTGAATTGACAGTAGTATGAGTAGAAAAATAAAAGGCCCATAATGTTAGATACTCAGAAACACTTGCAGCCGTAACTAAGAGCAGATGATATGGATGAAAGTGGTATATGTCATTTATGCTGTGATAATTATATATATCATAGTATAGTGAAAAATCTATTTAGATAAAGTACGACGGGATAAACATGAGATCGTCTGTTTTTGATCAACTCGGAAAATGAAATACACGACTCACTCTCATGACTCCGAAAACAGAGGAACCGCACTGTCACCATCTTTTGGCAGATGTCGTCATATCGCCTAAACCAGGTAATAAAAGTCGTACTTGTAACACAAGTTTGTTGAAGCTGCAGTTGTAGGACTAGTGGTAGGTGTAGCAGCAGTAGCAGCTGCAGTAACTGGATTAGCAGTTGTAACAGCACTAGTAATCATGGAGTTTGGTAGCAGAAGCAAGTCAACACCAAGGTTCATTCAAGTTTATCAAATATTTCACTTGATTCCATCAGTTGATCATTAGCCCTCTAATCAGTTACAACAGGTTTATGTCAGTCAGTTTTTTTTTTTTAACTCATTCTCCGTGTCTGTGTTAAAAAGAAATATTCATTTTCATAGAGGATGATCATGCTGCGCCAACGCTGGGTTTAAGTACAATCTGCATGTCCAGTTCTGCCATTATAATACATTTCATTACCACTCTGGAAGGATTTTTTGTCCATGTATATGTATATGTATATGTATATGTATATGTATATGTATATGTATATGTATATGTATATGTATATGTATATGTATATGTATATGTATATGTATATGTATATGTATATGTATATGTATATGTATATGTATATGTATATGTAGTACTTGTTTTCTAGCCAAAATTCTGCATATAAAATTGAAATGCTTCCATATGGGGCTCTATAGTTGTTGTGTTAATCATTTTATATATAGAAATCCGCAGGAGTATGGCCTTTCCAACAGACCTGTATTTTTCTGGAAAAATACAAACAAATGATAGTAAAAGAAATGTTTTTTTAAGTGTCAGATGTAGCTGTGTAGTTGTTCTAGTTGTAGTAGGAGTGTGAGATAGTTTGACCACTAGTTGTGCTATGGAGCTACAGATGAGCAGGTCACTGTTTTGTTTGTAACTTGTGTGCTCTTAGCAGATACTGTATGTACCCACATGTGGGGGGTGATGTGATTCACATTCCTGCTGATGTGGTCATGCTGTTTCACTCACTGATAGTTGGCCGTGGCAGTTTGCCAAGAGTTGTAGCATCGTGCCAGCTAAAGCTACAGTAAAAGCAAGGGGAAGAGCTAGCAGATAGCTAGCAGACATGGTTGTAAACTGAGCAGGTTTCTAACAATGTAAACAATCAGTTCTGCATCAAACATGTTTGTCAGGCCTCAAGGATACTGACAGTGAACTCTAGTGAGAAACATCTGTTCAGTTACGAGAATAGTGCACCTTTAATCCTTAGAAGGTTTTTATAATCGCAGAAGAACAACAGATCGATTGTGTTGAGCTCTCACACAAAATTACAGTTAATAATAGTTTATTAACTTGTGTGACTTGCCGTGGGTTCAGTGCAAATTTCTCTGCCAGAGCTCTTTGTCACTGTTGTTTTGAACACACTTTTATGTTGCACTACTTAAGTTTTGATTCATCGCTTCCGGTGCTGGAGATTTCCAGCAGTGACCACAAAGAGCTCGACTTCATCATATCTCAGTTTGTAGGACACGGCATGGCCTTTACTGGTTTTGCTTTTGAGTCATAGCTGTATTGTGCAGCTTAAAACACACATTCACATGCATATACATCACCGAGGTTTGGAGCCTTAGACCCTGGCAGACAGGTGGCTTTGTTCACAAACACAGTATGCAGGCTGGGAGAGCTGGGTGAAGTGGAGAAGGGGGTGGGGTGGGGGGGGCTCTAATCATTATTATGCTTTCCGCAGAACGGTGGCGCTCCGCATTTTTTGCCGTGTTCCCGAGTTGGTCGGCACATTCCGCTGGCATTGTTATCCGGCCTGTTTCCTGCGGCCGGCGGCTTTTGTCAGCCTCTCCCCCATTGTCCCGGCTTCCTTTGTTCCCCGGCTCCAACAATGGCTTTTTTTCTGCCTCTTTATATATATGTGCACTTTTTGCCCTTGTGTGTTCTGTTTGTTTTGTTCTGCTGTCTGCTGTGTTTTTCTTTCCTCCTGCTGCAGAGCTGGGAAATAACACACACACACACACACACACACACACACACACACACGCCCGAGGTGATTTGTTCAAGTTCACTGTGGTTCAAACCTCTCTCACTCAACCTGTCCTCTCCTCCTTTCTCTCTCTCTTTCTCCCTCACTGAGTCGTTGTCTGCCTCCCTCTCCTCTATAACCCCCCTATTATTTATTGTCACACACTCACACATACACACACTCAGACAGTAAGCTTCTGTGANACACACACACACACACACACACACACACACACACACACACGCCCGAGTTGATTTGTTCAAGTTCACTGTGGTTCAAACCTCTCTCACTCAACCTGTCCTCTCCTCCTTTCTCTCTCTCTTTCTCCCTCACTGAGTCGTTGTCTGCCTCCCTCTCCTCTATAACCCCCCTATTATTTATTGTCACACACTCACACATACACACACTCAGACAGTAAGCTTCTGTGACTTCAGGTGGTGGTAACACAACCAGCACCTAACCCTTTGCCATGACTTCAGCAGTGACTTAAAACACTGGGTCTTAATCTGAAGGACACATGTCTGACGCCACAGAGCCAACATGTGATCATAAAACTGATTTACAGAAAAGTTCCATTTTTAACTACAGTAAATACAGCCTTTATTTTTCATTTCTACTGTTTTTACTTATATTATTTAACATCAAGCTCCCTGTTTTCTGATCCCATTTTAATTTGCTGTTAGTTTGTAACTAATTCCACCACTACCACAGCTTCTGATCACAATCTACTTTGCACTTCTTTCAGTTGCTGTTTAGCTTCCGTCCATTTCCTGATCAGATGTTTCACACTAAAAGCCTTCTTTTGCATCAAAGGACATAATCCCTCCCTGTCCAGGTAGGGTGTTAATGTGAGAACTCTGCAGGAAGTGTTTTGAGCTTTATTGACCATTCTTTAACCACGATCAAAAAAGCAGCAAAGTAGACTTATTTGGAATCAAGTAGAGTGAAAGAGATAATTCAGTGTGAAATTGCAACTCTGTAAGCTGTAGTTGCTGCGTTGTTGTACTGATGGAAACTGTGGAGGATTTACTTCTAAGATTTCCCTTTGTGTTAAAATGTTTCTCTTTTGTTGTAACTCTGTCACTCAAATGAAGTAAACCTTAGCCCCTTTTTATACAGTTTGTTCAGAACAGGATTGTTGCGCCTGTATTCCGTCTCGCTGTTCCTTATAAAAGATACGATCATGGACTGGGGGGGGGGGGCATCGTTGTTCCAGCAATAAGCCAGCAGTCTGCATCTACCATCAAAAATAAATCTGAATTTTGTTGGATGTATCCTAATTATTTAAGTGATCATGTGCGTCTCCATGTGGTTGACATTTCTGGTTTGGCCTGAAACGTCTCTGAAATTATTATCTGGTTTACGCCCAAATACCTACAAGATGAATTACATGCCCATTAGCCTCAGCTGTACACCTGTTGCGACACGCTCAACTAAGATGCTGACAATTGTAAACATTATACATTACCATTTAGCTTGGCATTTAGCTCAAAGCACTGTGGCAAAGGGCAGCCTCACAGACCAGTTAGCATGGCTGCTACTATCCACTCAACCAGCTGTTTTCCAGAAGCTGTTTTAACTTGTTCATCTTGCAGAGTTCCTCATTTCCCACAACGTGAGCTGAGGTGATATGGACAGATATTGACATTTTGTCAGTGTGATACAAGATTAGACAAAAGTTCCTCCATAAGGTTCCCTCATCTAATGTTTATTTGTTGATTCTTAAAAATGTACCCGTGTTATCTTGATCTCTTCTCTTTTCTGTAATGACACCAACTACCAAATCAAATGTTGGCATGGCAAGTGCACAAAACTTACCACACCCAAATGACACCTAGTATTGTGTGTTGTATTTATCCTTCAACAGAATGGTTGAGCCCAGCCCTCCAGCGCTGCACCTCCTCTCCGGTGGGGATGTCAGCATGGCAGGCGTTGGTGTCAAAGTAGAACAGGAGGAGTCCAGCGAAGGAGGTGGAGTCATTACCAATGACGAACTTCCTAAGACATCTCCCTTGCGTGATTGGTCTGGGAATCAGCCACTGGAGGCCCGCCAGTTGACCCCGCCGCTGTCCCGCTCCCCTTCGGTAAGGATATCACGAAAGGTGTGAAAGAGCGAGAAAGGTTGTTGACAGGCATTTAAGAAATGTGGGAAGTGTCACAGATTAAAATGTCAAGTAGAAAGTGTGCTTTTCCTTATCCTGGTCTGAGGAATTGTCACTTGATGTTCTCTTTTTTTCTTGTCCTGACAGGAGGGCTCTCCAGGTAAGGAGCTGCCTCACAGGCAAAGCCCCATGGGACTGAAGGAGGTCAGGACACATGATCGACCAGAAGGACAATCCAGCTTCAAGGAAGGTGTGTCTAAACTCTTAACGTGGTCTCTTATCCACTTTGTGCTCTGCAGTGTCAGGAGTAGTGTTGACAGAGCTGCCAAGTAATTGTACTCAGACTTGAGAAAGAAGCTGCGTGTATAATGATGTGCACTTTGGTGCCGTGTAAAACTGGAAAAATATCTCCTGTTTTTGAAGTTGAACTCCTGTTATTTAGAAGAGGAACCATGACTGTGCAGACTGAGAGTTCATTCTGTTTTGTTTGGCTCAACCTACCACACTGTTGATATCCTGTTTTGAATATTTTGACAAAATAATCTTAATGCAACATCTACTTACCAGCTTTTACTGTTAAACAGTGAGCTCAGTAAGTGTAAAAAGGTATTTGCTCTAACCATATGATTTACAATTGCTAATGATGATGATGATTTTTTTTAAATATATATTAAAGGATCATTTTGGTTTATTACAAGCTGGGTCTTATTTTAGCCATGTCAGTAGCAGTCATTCAGTCCAGATGTCCATGTGTTGTTTGATTATAGATCAGGTCTAGGTTCTATATTAATACTGTGAAAGTATCAAAGCCTCAGTCCACAGAGAAATGCACACAGCCTGTATTCAGAAACTGAGCCTTAAAACCAGCCGTCAGGATTTCTGTAACTTTGTGATGTCACAACAAAGCAGTCACTGCTCTCAGCCTTGCCCCAAGCCCCGCCCACCTCGACCCACTAGGATTTGGTCTCTCTGAGTGTTTACCTGAAATCTGCTATATATTTTTTTGATCAATCAGAAAACAGTCAGCCAATCAGAAGCGAGGCTCAGAGCCTCCTCTCTTCTGATTGGCTCAGCGATCTGTTGTTACTAGAGCTCCAGAGAGAAGCCTGAGAGAGGAGATGTAAAACTACATTAAAACCACAAATATCATATCACAACATATCTTCTTATGGATCAACACTGGAAAAGTGTAAAATATGACCTTTAGAAGTATTGGATGGATTCCCATGACATTTTGTACAGATTCATGTTCCCCATTTCTGGGATATTGTGGATGATTTTCAGGGTCAGGGAGCTTCTGTCAATATATGAGAGAATCCCTCAGAAGTGAGATGTCTGTCCTCTGAATTGCACCAGCTGAAGTTGGGGTGAATAGCTGATCATCATAGGGACGATTGAGACGCTTTATCTGTTAAACTATGGGGATAATGGCAGACATTTTCAGACAGTCTCTCCTAGAGGCATCTGTAGTGTTGCACTCAGTTGTTCACATGAAAAGTATTAGACATAGTTGTGTCAAGAATGAGAAAAGAGAACTAGATCTCGGAGGGTATTGGGACAAGGTGGTTTCCGTCCAACAAGCACATCTGATGCATGGCGCTAAGACAAACTGGCAAACGTTTCCTGCTAAACATCAGTTAGCATGCTGTTGTTAGCATGTAGCATATGTTCGACCTCAGACACCCCTTAGCGTGGCTGTAAACTCTCTGTCATGTTACAATTTTATAATAAAACAGCATTGTCAGAAATTGCTGATGTCTGAGAACACTGCAGCACCGCTAGAACAAAGTCTGACCAGACAAGAAACGGTCACATGATCAGACAGGTTGTAAACATCATAGCCAATGAAAATGAGGTCCTGTTTGTCTGTATGTGATTATAACTTCAGTCAAAGTATTCTGATGGCATACATTTTAGCTTAAGACAACCTTGGTGAAATTTGGCACAGTCTATGTTTTTGTTACAGCCCTTTCTCCTCAGTGTCTCTGGGTCATATCAGTGAGGGCACTACCATTAGGGGGCACTTTTTTCCAATCTGCACATAGTGTCAGTGTCAGTGTTTATGTGATATGTGATGTGTCGATTTTTGTTCACAGATCAACGCAAACATTTAATCAGATTAATTAAAACTGAAGTTAATGCAGTTGCTAATGTGTTAGACGAGACTCAGCAGCAGCGGCCGTAAAGTGACTTGTATTTGTATCTACGCTTAATTTCCCTCAACAAGTACTCGCCATTTGAAACATTTGTATCAGTGCAGCTCCTCAGTCTGTCTCCCTGCTGCACCTCAGCTTTATTTGCCTCTATGGCAGTCTCTTACTCTCAGACACGTCCATACAATTTTCTCACCGACCGGGCTTTGACGACTCCATATCTTATGTGTTTAAGTGCACTACATTCTGCTGCTATTCAACATTAAACAATGCAGTCTGCTGAAAATCGATGCGCAGAAGTGACGATTTGTCTAGCGAAGTGAAGGTGTTGTTTGGTTGCTGAATGGGCTCGGGGGGATCAGGGTGCTTTTTTTTTTTGTCTGATTTTGTTCAGTCCCTCATATGTTGAGTAAAAGGCTGCACTCCGAGCCGCTCCTGAGACTCTCCCTGCCCTCAAGTCTTTCACCAGCCTACACTCCTCGCCTCAAATTTTTCTCAAATTCTCCCGACTGGCTGACCTTGGATTGTTCTCTGTCCAAATATTGATCCACTCAAACACTCAAAACTTCTCCCAGATGCACAAACAACCTCTGCCCTTCGGCACCTCAAATGCCTTCTTCAATCAGTGCCATTAAGGAGGCAGAGGAGAAGGCTGAGAAAGTAGTTTGGTGTCAGATGGATTTTATTTGACAGAATATATTTTTCACGCCATCAAGTGCAGCTCTGTGCGGTTCTGCTGAGTACCTGTTGTGTCCTGTTAACAGTAATGCCTACCATTGAGAAGCTGCTGAATGCTGACTGGAAGGAGAAACTTCTGGATAAAAGCACAGTGAGGGCAGGACAACTGAAAGGTCAGCTTTCAGACACGACCAACACCTTTATACCATCTCTATAGAATTATTTCTAACACATTTTTATTAGATTGTATAAATGTCTGCTTTATTTTTCTCATTTTCCATGAACATCATTTGCTTTATCAATTTAAAAAAAAAAAAAGTGTTGCATAAGTTGTTGCACATTTCAAAGCAAAGCCTGGCTGTGTGCAGTAATTTGGTCAACTGCTGGTTGCTGTGGAAATTGTTGGTTTCAGCTAAAATCTGTGACAAAAACATGGTGACAAACAAAACGGCACATCTGGAGAAACAGGAGAAGGTGGGGAAACTTGCTCAGTGAAATAATATATATTATTACCAGGCAACAGACATTCACTAACTGACGTTCAGAGGAACCCAGCCTCGATCACCATTGTCCCACACAGGTCTTATATGTGGTGTCGCTGTTATCTGAGCAGCTCTCAACTCTCTATTATTTTTTTCACTTTTGTAGTTTTGGCAAGTGATGATAGTACATCAAGTCACCAAATCATCTGATAAGAACCTTATCCACTGTTTCTCATCTAAACTGTATTTGAATCATAAATGATGATAAGATACTTTTTGGAAAGTGGAACCAAAATATGTTAATATTAGAAAAGTCATAACTGAAGTAACTCTGCTTCTCTGACATGAAATATACTTCATGTGTTTAGGCATTTTTACTGTAGCCTGACACCTTTCACTGCAGCACTTCACAGTGTCCTAAGTTTCTTCCCTGATTTTAAGCAATCTTGATATGACTTATTTAAATATTTTTATTCATTCAAATTATTTTTTATTGTGGTTAAATACTATTTAAATTCTACTTATGTATTCCCATGCCTCTGTAAAGCACTTTGAATTCCCTTGTGTCAAAATGTTGCCATATAAATAAACTTGCCTCGCCTCACCTGACCTCTGACCTCCTTCAGGTACCCCCGAGTCCCTGGCGGAGAAGGAGCTCCAGCTGTTGATGATGATCAACCAGCTGAGCGGTCTGAGGGAGCAGCTACTGGGAGCCCACTCTGAGCAGAGGAACATGGCCGCCCTGCTGCTGGAGAAACAGCAGCAGCAGATGGAGCTGGCTCGACAACAGCAGGAACAGGTGCCGCTCAGAATCCACGCATCTGTCGTCATTGTCATCAAAACATACACACGTCAACTGTAACTTCAAAACAAATTTCTGTGTCCACTCTGGCTTTTTTCTCAGAGAGTGAGGAAGCCAAGGAGTTAAATCAGGAACTTAAAGTCGCCTCTGTTCACTCGTCTTTATGAAGAAGCCCAAAATACTCAGCAAATTAGACAGATGTCGTGGTTGCACACAAGGAGACAACAGCACAGTTTTTATTTGTAGTTCACTTCCGTACGACTGTGTTATATTTGAGTGAACGTTAGAGAGAAAGTGCCACGGTGGAGTGGGAGACTTAAAATGTTAGACTGACGAGACAGCCAGTGAATGCCTTTGCTTCTGGTTTATTTTCAGCTCAGTCTGTACCTTCATATGAGCAAAGTCAAGTTTTGGTTCTTCTGCCCTGTCACTCACTCATCCACTTTCTCCTTTCCACTTCCCCCTTTTTTTTTTAAGGTAAAAACTCAACATAATTTGACATTTTATGACATAACTTTCATTTAAAAGTCAGTGTCATCAGGAGTAACTCTGCTGCCTCGTTCTCATAAAAACACTAGTGACCACCAGCACTGACTTGCAGTGGGACGTACACATGTTGTAGCAGTTTGGAGGCTTATGTTTGACCAGTCGACTTGCTGAGCAACACTGTCGGACTCACGACTCACGCAGTTTAGAAAAAAAGGATTGATCCAACACAGTCAGAGCTATTGTCATTTTTATTCCATGCATCCTTCTTCCCTGTCAAAATCTGGCACCTACATTACCCACAATGCAACTCAACCACGAACAGTGCAGTTGGAGATTCAGGTGTGTTATTGTTGTAGCAACTAATGCAGCCTGGAGCCTCAGACACATATGAGAAAATGGGCTACAGAGGTTTTCTTTTCATTTCTAACCCTTCACCCCCAATCTCAACCGACGTTGACTCAAGTGACATCACTTGAGGCAGCTTGTCAGACTTTGCCTTTTGTGTTGCCACAAAAGACTTTATCACATATACAATAATAATCGAGACTTGTAAAAAGACTTTGGCATGTCAAATCTGTGGCGTTCGTCTTTTTCCTGGGTCATCAAAATAGTCGCCCTCATAAAAGCCACAGGAATCTGAGAAGCTGGACCCTTTTGTTAGTAGCAGTAGCAGCTACGGTCAAAGACCCAAAACTAGAATGAGGTTCTAAAAAGGTTCCTGGAGAAATTCCTGTGGTTGAAAAGGCTAAAACGAGGTTCACTGAGACACATGCTTCAGTCTTAGAAATTTCACATATCAAATTTTAGTCTCAAAAAGTTCAACAGTGCAACAACTGTACACATAATGTGAACTTGTATGACTTAAGGCTAATTTAATAAACTGTCAATTTTATAGAAACATATATTTCTTTAACATTTCTTTATCAAATATACTGTATGTATACAAGTATATCATTTAAACATGATATAAATATGTAGTTATACCTTTCAAATGTCAATCCTTCAGTATGAATGCTCTGTTTGTTCATTAGTAACTTCTGTGTGAGTATGAAATCTGAGCAGGTGATATGTTTCATAGTCATACAAGCTTCAGTGAAATGCATTCAGTGGAGGTTCAAGCTAAATTCCTGAATGAAGACCTGATCATGGTCCGACCCACACTGTGTGCACCTGTGTGTGTGTGTGTGTGTGTGTGCCACTTAAATACATGACGTTTGTGTGAAGCTGAACGTGTCTTGTGTCTCAGATCGCCAAGCAGCAGCAGCAGCTGATCCAGCAGCAGCACAAGATCAACCTGCTTCAGCAGCAGATCCAGGTCAGCTCCTCTCAAGACCTTCACCTTCACGTCTTCATGTATCACAGCCAGCAGCACCAACATTGGTTACCACGTCTGAACGAGACGTTTCCTCTGCAGCTCTGAATCCTGTGTTTCACACAAATGAGGCTAGAACTTTTATGTAAGGTGTATTTGTCCTGCCTTGTCCCAGCAGGTAAACATGCCCTACGTGATGATCCCGGCTTTCCACCCCAACACCCAGCCCCTCTCGGTCAGCTCTGACCCCCAGATGACCCTGCCACTGCAACCAATCCCCTGCAAGCCAGGTCAGTCATTGAGATAGCAGAGGTTTACAGTGGCTTACATTATACTGTGAATCCAAGGTTGGAATGGCAAAATTAAGTTTAAAATACATATATAACATGCAACATAATACTGTATATATCTACAATCCACACATATTTCAAATGTATCTTCTGTTGCATTGTGGTCTAAAATAAAAAGCTGTTATTTTTTGATACAGTGTCTGTCAGTGGCTCTCTCACTGGGCATACAGAGTGAATACAGATTAATGATTTAATAGAAAATGGACTACTACTGCATTCTGCCTGTCCTCACATCTTAAGTCCACCACTTGCACTGTGAAACACAGTCGGTGTTTAAGCTAAATGAGTTTACGTCCAAACATTGCACAAGTTTTAACTGAATATTCCAGAAAATCAGTAAAAGAAATTTGGACGCATTGAGGTATAAGAGGAGGGGGATGCAACAATATGAGGTAACTTAAAGGTCCCATATAGTATGAAGGTAGATGTCCATGTGTTGTTTGATTATAGATCAGGTCTAGGTTCTATATTAATACTGTGAAAGTATCAAAGCCTCAGTCCACAGAGAAATGCACACAGCACACAGAGATGTAAAAACTATATTGAGATGGTTTTCGGTTCTTAAAAACCACAAATATATCTTCTTATGGATTAACACTTATTAACACATATGGACCTTTTAAAAGTGACCAAGTGAACAAAAACGATGTGAAAAACATGATGGAAGCATTTCTCTCGTGTTAATATGAGTTAATATAAGTTACAGACTCATCAAACAGATGTGATGATTTCATCTGCAGCAGTTTGAGGCTGGCTCCTTTGCTGGTGCTGGAGTTCGATGCTCCACTGCGCTACCAGAGGTTTTGTCAAAATACGAAGTGCCAGGTGCTGCACTGTGCCCTTGCAACTGGGTCATTATGTCTGAAATGAACTTTCAAAATCATAGAAAAGAAAAATTGCAATTCTTAGGTGAATCTACCCCACCGTCCCCCACTACCCCTTACAGCCAGGAGCTACACTATGTTGATAAGGTTGTATTGTTCCAGGTATCGCTGAGATGATTAACTATGATCCTCGAGGGTGCGTTTGAGTAACAGATCTATGATTTTTAAGGCTTATCTGGCACAAAACACTACACAGTGGTTTAATATTATATCATCAGACAGGATTTTACATCTCTGGAAAGTTATCACCGCAACAATGACTTTATCTTTCATCGTAACATATGTGAGGTAAACAGTAGAATTACTTATAGTACAAAACAATCTACCAGCAAGGTATACTTGCACATATTTGATTAACAAACACATTGTGTGAAGTCAGGTTGAACTTCTTTTGTCTGAACACAATTTTATATTAGTAAACATGAGATTAGGTAATCTGTGGATTATGGTAGCAAAATCCGTTTCTGTTTGCACCTAAAATCAACTCAAGATGTGTCTGATCAGTCATGTTCTGTGTTCGCTTGAGTCTGTCTCTAGTTTTCATTGTGATCTTTTAATAATCCTCCAAGGTTTCTCTCCAGTGCTGAGAACACTGGGGTTTGTCAGTTCTTTCATAGCCTTTTCTCACAAACCCTGTTATATAGGAAGAATGAATACTCAATTTATCTGACAATAACTGTGTTCTCTGAAGGCCAGAAACTTTGTGCTGAAAAGTCGTCACCATTAGTGCAGCTCTAGTTCCATGGGCTGCTGCCCGTGCTCCAGCGTCTTCTCACGAGTGTTTTTGAAACATAAGTATATTTGTGCTCTTCAACCGAAGGCCTGTTTTATAGAAAATGGAAAGGAGTCAGTGAGACACAAACGTAGACTTCAATTGAACAATATGGTTGATAGCACCTTTCATACACTTGTGCTTGTACAGTTAGCAGGCTATAGAGGGCATATCTTAAAAAGCCACAGCATTGTGCAGTCTTGCTTTCACGAGTCTTAATAGCTGTGCTCGTGGCTCACCTTGCCTTTTATATCTTTTCAAACCTGTCTGACACAAGGTCAGTCTTTAAGACATTGTAGGTAGAATTTGAGGATAGCCATTCATTTGCTTTCTTTATTTCAAGAAACATGTGCATCTGTGTGTGAGTGCCTCAAAATGTTTTCACAGATGAATGTAAAAAAAAGAAAATAAAAGAAACGGTAGGAGGGCTGTTGGGTTGTGTGGAAGAGGTGAGCTGTAGCCAAAAACCTGAAGTTGTCTTTTCTTTGGTGTTATGGACAGAGTGAAGCCCTGTGCTGTTTAATTTCATGTTTGTAATGTGTTCTATTTGTTTGCTCATTTGAATATCAACTTCACTATCAATTGGACGTTGTACTTCGGGGAGTTTCCCTGTAAATCCAAACCAAATGCACCTCATTTTTACCCATGGCGAGAATCATGTTAATCCTGTCGCTAATGAAATTCTCTGTTTTAGAATGTTTTTATAGGACTGTCAGGTTTAAGTTATCAAATGTGAAAAACATGCAATTTGTTAAAATTTATCTGAACATATCCAAACATAACCTAATCCTGAACCATTTGTAGAATTGGTGTTTTTTTTCATTCAAGCTAACACCGAAGTCCTTATAGGCAAATCTCACCTAGGGGTGGGTGATCGATTTTCTAACGTGGACGATCTTACTTTATGATCTACTTTTCGGATGAATTGTACATAGCGCATCATTAAAAGTCTCTATATTCAATATCAAAAGTTCAATCGTTTCTAACCAGCCCATTGTAGAACGGTGTAACAGCTAGCCCACTAACTGCAGCTGGCGACGGCAGGCCTTGTTCTGCTCTGCAGCCTCAGGGAGTTTTGTGTAGCTGCTCATGAACCAGTTCTCCACCTGAGCAGAACAAGAACCACAGTCACCAGCTGCAGTCCAAGATGGTGGAGTTACAGTCTGCTGGCAGGGAAAGAGGAGGTGGGATGGGCAGGAGCTATCTGGTCAGCGGCAATTGAACTTTCGATGAAACACTTACATATAGCACCTAATAAATAACAGCGCTGTCCATAATACTCCACATGAACTGAGCAAAAAGTTAGTTCTTTGGGCACAGTTCGTAAACAGAAGACGGAATTGTGGACGAAGAGTAGTAGTGAGCAGACAAACATCGGAAAGAAGCATCAAAGTGGCAGAAATCACAACTTCTGGACATGACTTTCACAATAAGATCAGAGTGAAAACAGGATGCAGATTTTGATTGTGGATTGTGATTCTACCCGACAAGATTTTCATATGATCTGTTTGGCTCGCCCACCCCTAGTCTCACCACTCGGCAGCCATCTTGGCAACACCCCTGGGCAGTTATCACCGGCTAACAAGACCAGGCCCCTATCTACATGAATGAGAGAGCTATAACTGCACTTTCAATTGTCACCTTGGCGTAAAAACTGCAAATATAGAATCACCAGTCAACTGTAAAATAAAAAATTAAAAAATCTAAAAGTTTGGTGACAAAAATAAGGTTTAAAACACGTATGGTTTCGCTTGCATCAGTGCAACAACATCATTTGCTTTATATGTTTCTGTTCTGACCTGTTATATGATTTATGTGGTTATTTATTTCATAATGTTTTTATTTATTGCTTATTTATCTATTATTTATTCATTTATGTCTTTTGGGTATCCATAGTGTTTATGTAGCAGGGACTTGGTACAGCCACTTTCTGTATTTAACATTTGTGCACCAAGCCGAGCAAGTGTGCTCAGACATCTGAATCTGTGTTTGCAAGTAGTTTTGATTCAGAAAACTTTACATCTTCCACAGCTGTGGACTATCCCATGCAGCTGCTACCAAACCCTCATCCCACCCCCGTCAAGAGGAGCAGTGGTTCCTTCCGACAGGTACAGTATCACTGCAGCATATGGATTTTGATGTCAGCCATGTAAATGTATATCTCACGTTGACAAACTAATTTCCCAACTTCTGGAAACACAAACATTAGTAATGCTTACAAATACATTGCAGAGTTTATATCTCCAAAATGCAAACATTGTGTGGGAAGAGTGAATTATGACAGTGTGTTTGCTTACTGTATAGTGTGTGTGTGTGCGTGTGTGTGTGTGTGTGTGTGTGTGTGTGTTTGTGGTTGAAGTGATGATAAAGAAAGTGAGGCTCTCCAGATTAAACAGATAATGCACTTTCTTGGTATTTTGGAGGCTGAAAAGCATTCGGAATACACCACACCCTCTGTTCAAAGGTTTAATGTGTGTGGTACAGATGTGTGTGTGTGTGTGTGTGTGTGTGTGTGTGTGCAGCATGAACTGTATTTGCACGGCTTGTTCTCAAGCAGAGATAGAGCAGTACAGCTTAAATAAACAAAAGGGGAGAGAGGATGAGGTGAACATAAAGACAAAAGACCAGAAACGCTACAAAGGTGTGACAGATGCGCTCCGACATGCCAAATCTGCCGTGCATAGCCGGAATACATGCACAACCTCGCCCTTTACAGTTACGCCTGAATGTGTGTAAGTGGCCCCACCCCTCTCATCTTGCTCTCGCTGTGTGTTTAGGAAGCCAGTCAACCCTTGAACCTGACCTCCAAGCCGAAGGGGCTGGAGCTGGGGAAAACACCCAGTCCACAGAGCCTGGAGCTGGGATCGCTGGGGCTGCAGGGGGCCTACAGACCCAGAGATCTTCAGAGAGAAGTGTCCCACAGTCCGCCACGATCTGCCCTCAGTGAGTTCCACTGAAGTGGGAAATCATGATCACAAAGGAGGAAAAAAAAACTGTTGTGCTCTCATAAGCTTCTCTGAGATGCTCAAATCAAAGTTGTGGTATTAGACACCCTCTGCATTTCTGTGTTGATACAGTTACAGGGTTTGAACTGCCCTCCCCTGGGCCAGTGTTGTGTTCATGCATGAGGCCTCCCTCATGCATACACAGCAATTTCTTAAAGATACACTGTGGAGTTTGTGACCACTAGTAGTGCTATGGAGCAATGTTTTTTTTTTAGAGTGGCTCCCCATTTTGTTTGAATCTTTGTGCATGCACACAGGTGATGTTTTCACACTATTCCATTGATTGTCAATTGGTGTGTCAAGTAATGGAGCCATGAGCCAACAAGAGCAGGGAAGAAGAAGACTGTTGCATGGGTGCAAACAATATAAACTATTTCAAATTCTTCCAAAAAACGGCTTTGCAAATGTTTTATGAGGAAGGGAATGCATTCAGAGAGTTGATTTGGCCTCAAGGACACACGGCATGTTTTGAGGAGTAACACTGAATGAAAACATAACTGTGTTTACAAAAACATCCTTAAAGTCACTGTGTGTAGTCCTTCAAATTACTCCTAATCTTTCAAATTGTGCCAATAGCACTGGGAGGCACAAAGTCAAATCAAGCCAAAGTCGAGCAGTTTCAAATTCTACACATACCAGCTTTAAAGTAAAGATAAAAGTCATGTTGTTCTATTTGTTTCATCACTGATTCACACCACAGCTTTTATCTCCTACCTCTTTCCTTCAAAATGTCACAAAACAATGCATTTCACATTTCTAAGGCATAGTCTATGTAAAGCTGTTAATAAAGGGGAAGTTAGCACTAGCACAAATAGCAGGTGTTAGTTAATAGATGAATTAGAGAGGGCAGTTTACAGAAACTCAAATTCCAAGAAATAACCCACAGCACCACCCCCAGTGTTTGACTGACTCTGTGCCAAGCACACATACCACAGTAATGGTCGCTTGACAGCAAACATGCAGTTAACGTCAAAGCAGCAACTGTGGGTCATCACACTGAAAAAGCTTAAGAAGCAAACTGAAGCTGTTTGTGCGCACATGAAAAACTTTAATGTACAGTGGTTTAATGAACAGTTGCCTAATCTTTACTTTGTATTTTTGAAAAGCACATTTCATCAAAGCTGCCTCTTCACTTTTCTCTGTCTAACATCATTTTCCTTTATCATAATCTTGTTCCTCATTTTTTTGTTCTTTTTCCTCCTTCTCACCCTGTGTCCTCGTCATCAGGTTTCCTCGGAGACGGTGATGTGGTCACCCAGGCCATCCATGATGCACAGCAGCTCCTGAGGGGCCACAGCAGCGGAGGGCGAGAGAGGGAGCGAGACAGGGAGAGAGAGAGAGATGGCGGGGGAAAGATGGTGAGTTGATTCTCAATATACACAAAATGAATGCACACAGTCACAAGGTTTGTGAGCCTTTTCTCACATGCACATTATAAAGTAAATGTTGGCAAATGTCTGAAAAAGCACCTGAATTACTTTTACATTAAAGCTGTGACAGCAATTTTACTAATTCACACCTTTCCGTAACACTTCCAACATGGCACAAATCTGAGTTGAGTAGCGCAGGATAAAACATGCACAGAGAGGAAGTAAATACACATTTCACACTTTTACCTGAGGCTTCTTCACATCTTTTTTTCACATCTCTTTTTTCTTGATGGTTTTACCCATTATTCCTCTAATTTTTTTTTTCTTAGTTTTTAAAGGTCGTCTCATTACTCCTCTTAGAATTAGCTGATACAGACGTCCAGATTCACACAAATATCACATTTGTGTGAAATTGAATATGCATCTTATCTTAATGGATACATAAATATTAAGTTGTGTCTACACAGAAAGTATTTCCGCGTTTTTCAGTCATCCGTCTCACGAGTCTGTGTATATTGCGTTTTACTCACACTAACATGAAGTGGCAAAAACTGCAGTTCCTCTAATGACCACTAGAGTCTGGCTCCAACAGTGAGTCAATCCCCATAGACTCCCATGCTAAAATGTCCAACTTTACAGCAGAAATAAACATGTTTATAGCCTGGTTCATTGAACAGTTTTGGTTTCTATACCTAATTTCCTCCTCATGGCAACTACGAGGTGTGAATTTTTATATTTTTATCTAACACACCTATTTACATTTTATTAAGGCTTCAAGTTCTGCATAATTTTAGGGCGTGATGTTTTGAGTGATGGGTGGGTGAGTGTATGTTTGCCACAAACCAGGCAGGCACTGTCAAGATGGCAATGGCGGAGCAACTCACTCTGAGCTTCAAAACCGCTCTTCAGAAACCTGTGGGTAATGTCACGGAGGCTTCGTCCATCTTTATTTACGGTTTATACTAAACACACACGGGGCACTGGAGCAGTTGCTGCTACTCTGCTAACGTGTTGCTCATGCTAGGCCTCCTGTGTACTGTCTGCACCTACAGTTTACTACTTGCACAGTCATTCAGATCTTCAGACAAACACGTGCAGCCTATGTGTCTGTTTACTTCAACCTGCAGCAACTGATTTTTTGGCCATTGGGGGGAAGCAAAAGCTGTGAGCACAACACTTATCAATAGCCGTGTCCCAATTCAGGGGCCGAATCCTTCGGAGGACATGGTCTACGAAGGTGTAGCCCTTTGTAACGAAGGCCGAACCAAAATGAGATGGTCTGGTGGAGGATTTTCACTTTGCGTCACTAGCTGTGCCTGCCTTTACCGTTGCATTGTAAAGTGTGGCTCCTGTCGCCTAGCAACCTTGACAAAATGTAACCTTTTTTTCACAAACATTACTGGCGAAGCAATGAATCTTGGGATAGGTTGGGCCCAGGAAAAGAAGGCCGCATTTTTCAGCTGCATTTGAAGAAGCCACCTAAATAGGAGAGCCTGGTCTTCAAATGCAGCTTCCGAAAGATGCTAATATGGTAAGATAGTAGCAGACAGGTGTTTATTTACATATCCAGCAGTTACATAGCAACATTATCAATTACTTGGAGTTGTGTTTGTGTCCACCTGATGAATGTAACTCCAGTATTTTCTCTCTTTTAGCTCTGTTTTTGGTCTCTACCAACTCCCGAGGGAAATATCTGGGTCTTTAGTTGCTCAATGCTCCACTATGTTCACCATGCTTAATATGAGGCAACAGTCTCAGTCTCTCTGTCTCTCTCTCTCTCGTTCTCTCTCTCTTGCTGGCTAACATGTGAGGGTCTAATTAGGGGTCAGAGTCAGGTTTAGGGTTACAGGGAGTCATGTACTCCTCCTGAGGATTTAACTGACGGAGGATTGTCCTGGCTGTAGTATATACACACACACACAAGCATATTGTTTCACCTCATTATTTTAGGTGTTGCCCTCTGGAAAGTACTGAGAAGTAAACAGACAAAGAAGTTATGTCTCTGTTGTTTCCATTATTAGTAACTGAAAAGGAGCTGCCTAGTCAGTACTCCCTGACAAAGATGGTATCAGATGCTGTCATTCTACTTTTATGTGCCACTCTGAAAAAGTACAAAATATTGTTTTTACTGCACACACAGACTTTAGTGGGCCTCATGAATCTTAGTTTTCTATGTAGATGTATTTATTTCTGAGTGCTATTACAGACTCTTTTACATATTTTATTTTAATTACATATTTCATCTGGAACCGAATTATAAAAATCCTGCTTGTTATAGTTTGCTTTGGTTCCTTTAAAAACTGTCTTCTATTCTAGTCTTGGTTTTCCTTCTTTGAGGTGGCTGCAGCTTTGGTCCCAGCCTCATCCTGGAGCAACAGCTGTTGCAGCCTCACAATACCACAAAGGCCTCAGTGTGGCATTGACTGAGCCACCTGCCCTCTCTCTTTGTCCACAATAATACTGTACTCTGCAGCTCTCCTCCTCTACTCCATTATCCTGCTCCATCTCGCCTGTGCTGCTGCTTTAACCCCGATACTGTTTACTGACCTATTTTGGTATTCCACTCCACCGCACAGGGATAAATAATGTTTTACAGCACGCGAATGAATGATGGATAATACACCGATGGTGTGATAGTTGTGCAAATGCAGAAGTTGTTACATTCCCATCTCTGCCTTTTCTCCTTCACCTTTCCTCCCTCAAACAATAAACACCATTCTTCCTCCTCTGTAGTGTTGTAATCCCCTTTCTTTGCATTTACAGCCCTGCATTTAAACAGCAGCTGATATGGCGAGCGTGTCGTTTCTTTACCTTAAATAGCTCTACGTGAAACACATGCGTGTCTTGAACACACCCCGTGGACATCAGGTCATCTTTTTACTGCAGTCGAAATTCAAATCATCGCTTTGTGCTCGAGTGTGAATATTTGTTTGCCCTCACAGCATGTCTGACTTCACCTGTCTTTGTCTTTTTTATGTGTGCAGGATTATAAAGATTCTTCACACAGTGAGAGAATCTCTCACTCCGAGCGGGGTGAAGACAGACATGGCCTGCCGTCCACTGAGGACCACCTCAGCAGCGACTCTGAGGGTAGGAGCCTGTTTGTTTCAAAGGCAGTATACTATACTGTTTTATTATTGCCCCCCAGAATATCACATTGACATTTAGGTATCCAAAAATAACTTCCACCACCACCTCCAGATTCAACTGTATCAAAAAAACATCAACGACATGAAGTTTGGAGTTTAATGAGAAACTGGTGCAAACATCAGGATGGAGAATGTAGGTGGGGAAAGTGAATCACAAGTGAACAATAGGATGTTTGTGGGAGAAGAGAACCTTTTAATGAGTAATGCTTAATAAGCAGGTGAGCTTAAAGATATTCACCAGTTTTAAGGGTGTAACAGAGAAAGTTTATAACAAGCGGTGTACCACTCCTTGGGCTAGAGATTTATTTAAGGAGGAATGAGTAACATATGCCAGCTCCTGGTTGGTGTGGTCCCCTGAGTGTAGCCCTTTTTTTTTTTTTTTTTTTTCCTGTAGGTGCCCTGCCCGTTTCGGTCCCAGGCAGCTACGCTGAGGCCCGGCCCCCTCCCTCCTCAGGCCACATCAAGAGACCCATGAATGCCTTCATGGTGTGGGCCAAGGACGAGCGCAGGAGGATCCTGCAGGCCTTCCCTGACATGCACAACTCCTCCATCAGCAAGATCCTGGGTGAGCCCAGCGCTGGGTGGGGGTGGGTTTCACTCTGCGTCTCTATTCTGAGACGCTGCCTGGAACACGTGAGGGCACATATATCCACCTGCCTCTCCAACCGGACACACACACACACACACACACACTCACACACTCACACACACACACACTGGCCTGAATCCCTTTACTTGGACCAAACATTTACATTCCTTTCTGTTGTGGAGAGTGTTTGTGTGTGTGTGTTTATGTGCAACCACCCTTCACACACACACACACACACACACACACACACACACACACACACACACACACACAGACATGCAGAAGTGAATACACACATGCATGCCTATTTGCATATCAGTAATATTTGTGTTTTAAACACACAATTTTTAATATTAGCTACTTATCTCTCAATGTATAAATCCCTGTTTTCTCCAGTGTTCTCTACAGTGGTGGGCTGATTGAGATCATGTTTATGCCCGTTTTCACATCAGTTAGTGCACAACCTAATATCACACCTGCCTGTTTGAAGATGTTTTAACCACACCTTTACCCAGAGAGGCAGAGCTTCACTAATGAAATCATCTTTGACTTGGCAACAATGAAAACACGCATTCTCATCTGCCACGATGAATACAGTCCAGTTGAGTCTGTTTGGACTCCACTCTATGTGGTTAAAGCCAGTCTCAATTTTGTTTCTTCGTACCTCACCTCGCAGCTGTGACGAGGCTCTCTCTCTCTCAGTCTGTGTTCATGTGTGTATTTGTGAAACATCACATCACTCGTGGCCCAAGAACCGTACCAAACCCAAGTCCGCATTTAGCCAAGAATGATGTAAATGTTCTTTCTCTTTTTCCATTTTATCAATCATGCTCCGCTAGGTGACCCCTGTCATCCTGTTTACACAGGAATCCTACAGTTCAGGTTTGAAGTGTGGTCAATTTGGAAAATTTGCACCAACATTTGCAGAGATGTGATGGTCTGCTCGTAGTTCAAGCTAGCAGGTGTGCGGTCATCCCAATGGCTCCGAAACGTTTTAAACATAAGATTCATTTCAGTAGATAAACTTAGGCCTCAGACTCGAAATCTTTTATTTGTTGCTGGTTCACAGAAAGTAAAAAATAAGGTTGATGTTTTTATTTATCAGTAACTGCAACAAAAAAAATTGGATTGCTCAATATAAACTAAAAAGTCAACAACTTGCAAATAATAATGCACCAGCTGGAAATTGAACACATTGTTCCTTCCTGTTCTACTCTGTATTGAGAAAGCTCTCAGGAGACATATTTGTTGTTTACTGCTTGCGGTGTGCAGTCACTTCATTTTGAAGTCTTCTCACAACCGCTGTGACTGCTGTTCAGCAAAAGTCACTTAGCATGCTCTCACAGATGTATTGAGTGATATTTTTGAGACGGTGAGTCAAGTAAGTTTCAATTGTGACGTCAAAGTTATCACAAACTGAAGTAAAAGGTTTGGCAAAAGGACTATTATCCTTTTGGCATTTTTGCCTTTACTGGACACAGACAGGAAACAGGGTGAGACAGAGGAGCATAACATGAAACTGATGCCCCCCGGCTGGACTTTGCCATCATATTGCACGTGTCCTAACCACGTGAAATTACTTTATTTTAACTGAAAAGTAAAATAATGTATTTGAAAGATAAGCTTTAGCTTTCGAGTGGTACGTTTGAATTTAAACTAATTATAAGGTGACTAAAAACAGACTAAGAACTGTCAAAATCTGAGAATGACTCGTTCAAAGCTAACACACGAATCCCAGCCAAAACAAACAGATAAATGCAAAGCTAAATAAACATTTCAACCACGCTCCCTTGCCAAACCTGACTGAAACCAGCTAGAGAAATGTGTTTTCACTCACCGCCTCTGTGCTCATGTGTCTTTGTCTCTTCAGGTTCCAGGTGGAAGGCCATGTCCAACCAGGAGAAGCAGCCTTACTATGAAGAGCAGGCGAGGCTGAGCCGGCAGCACCTGGAGCGCTACCCCGACTACAAGTACAAACCCCGACCCAAAAGGACCTGCATTGTGGAGGGACGGAGGCTGAGGGTGGGAGAGTACAAGGCCATGATGAAGAGCCGCCGGCAGGAACAGAGAGCGACCTACACACACAGGTAGAAACCAGTGCGCGCACGGAGGCCGACGTGATATAATGTGAGAGAATTTGTCCCTGGCATACAACAGTGACTATTCACTCAATTAACAAGAGTTTGCTCTGCTCCTCCACACACTGTAGACAATGTCTGCAGCTCCCAGAGCAGTTTTTTTTTTTTTTGTTCTGAAGACACAAATAAAAGTGGAGTATTGATACTGAAGCTGGGCTGTTTTCAGTCTGTCCTTGGCGATGAATAGCATCCCTCGCCATTGTTCCCTCCAACTCCTCCAGCTAGTTAAGCTGGAGGAGTTGGAGGTTGGAACTGTTAAGAGTGGTTGGTTTTTAGTGTTTTTCTGTTTGTGTTGTTTGTTTTTGCATCACAGACGTCACACCGTCCTCTCTTTTAGATTCTCGTTAGAGACAAAACCTTAAAATCAGAATTTCACAAATTCAGTTTTGGATTTCAGTTCTGATCCTTATTTGGGAGTTACAGAGATATTGCAGACGACTACATTTGCATTTGTTGTTTCTGGTGTCTTGTGGGTTCAAGCTGATGTGTTACTTTTGAACTAATATTTTTCTTATAGTCACACTGAAACATTTAAAGTTGAACTGAAATTAAAATGAATTCAAGTCAATGAGAAAAAACCCACTGTAAATCATTTTGGTGCAATATTGTCTCGAGCGGGCACTGAAGAGTTCAACACGGGGAAATGTTGACGTCGACTACCAATTGCTCTGTCTCGTCACTTGCCATCAGCACAGCTTGACCCATGGAACAGAGCTACCATTAGCAAGAGCCCTGCTTTGACATAATGTGGGACGAAGGCAGTACTGAGTGGCCAGAAAGTCACATGTAGTGGTAGTCGGTGCTAATGTCAGCAAGCTAGGTTAACTAGCTTTGCAAACTTAGCAGCACAATCTCCTCGATGTTATTTAACACTCAGGACTCTCCCAGGTAGTATCGATCATAATGGGTTCATGTTATGATCATCAGATGTAATGATTTTGTTTCTGAGAGGTTATTTTGGTGGATGTCTCTTAATATAATTTACAATATAACCCTAACCCTAACATTCAGCCTCAGTTCCTGTGGAGAAGCCAGTCAGTGCTGATTTTGTCAATACAACATGTCGCCATAGTTGCTGATTACCCTAACCCTAACCCCACCCCTCACACAGTAAACTACACCCTAAACTTTAGCTTCCATCCTACATTTACGGCAGTTAAATTTTTCCCATACGTTTTTGTGTAGAGGCTTGTACCACTGACTTTTAATAAAAGAACTAGATATATGTTGTTAATCTTTTGTACCGTAATTTAACCAGGAGAGTTTCATGTCCATCCAAGCCGTACAGGTGCTTCCCCTAACACTGTCTGTGGAAAAAAATGAATGGACTTCCAGAACCAGAGGCACCTGGAATAACTCCTTGCAACATGTCACTCACTTACTGCCGTGGGGAACACACACCTTGAAACTCTGATCATTATAGTGTATATTTCCTTGCACAAAAACGAGAACTATAATTTTAGTTCAAATTCATTGATACATTAAATTAACAGAAAGACTGCGTGTGGTGTGTACATTACCCAGACTTCACCACCTCCATCATATGACAGATAAATATCTCTGAACACTCAGGTTGACTCATGTTATCGTCGTATTTTTGTGTCTTTTCAGTCAAACGGAGCCTCAGCAGATCCACTACTCCCACAGCGATGGCCAGTACCCAGGCAGCACTGGCTCAGTCTCCGTGGCAACCATGCCCTTTCACCCCGCGTTGCTGGAGCATTACCTACCGCAGGTCCCGCCCGCCCCGCGTCGAGCGGAGGGCCATTCCACGCCCACTTCCCTGTCCAGAGAGAGAGAGAGAGAACGAGAGAGGGAGCGACCTCCCTACAGCGAGGGGGAGGAAAGCGATGGGGGAGAAAGGAGTGAGGGAGAACTGGTGCTCCTGACAGACTGAAGGGGGGGGAGTGGGAGAGTTTAAAAAAATTTAAAAAAAAAAAAGGAAAATGGAGGCGAGGGATGGGAGGGGCGGTAGCTGTGGAGGAAGGGGTGCTCCTTGTTGACTGACAGTCAGAGAGGAAGAATGGAGGATGAACTAAGGAAAACAGGGAGGGAGGGAGTTGTCACTGAATGAGAAAATTGCTCCTCTGTAAGGAAATGTCACACTCATTCCCTTGTCAGTTAGCACAGTCTCCAACAAAACCCTGCCCCACAAACACACACACACACACACACACACACACACACACACACACACACACACACACACACACACACATAAAAGCACATTAACTCTTATCTTACTAATTTCCCTTAATAGACATCATGTCACTTTTGTTAGAATACAGGAGCTGAAGTTTTAATGTATGAGGTTTATCGTGTAATCCCTTATGCTGCGAGTTTCCTCCCATGTTGACTTTAGGCAAAACAAATGGCCCACAGGGATTAGATTCACCGGAGGAAAGTGTGAAAGGAACCATACAAATTCAATACAATCATTATTTTCACCTGTTCCCCCACTGAAGGACCTCAGAACAGCTGAGTAACCTCTCTCTGTTTGGAGCAACAGGCCTATGATTGCACTGTATATCATCTGTGTGTCATTATTGCCCCCTGCTGGTAATGGCTGGTAATTGCTGAGTGAAGAGACAGGAGCAGAGAACCTGTCTGTTCATTTTCACTTTAAGTATCTTACTTTTGCTAAAAATCTCACCCATGTAACTCATGGCTGAGATTGTCAGGGTTTGACATTACACAGGTGCTAGGCTATTTAAAAAACAGCATAAATGACAAAGGAAACATGCTGGGTATCAGTCATTGCTTCATGTAAGATTAATGGAAAATTGTGTTTGTCACCATTGACAGAGTAAATAGGGATCTCTCACTGCACCTAATGGTTTTCAATCCAATACCAATGAAATTATTTCGAAGAACACCTGTCGTTTCCCAGACAGTACATCGAAAATCAAACCCTCCTCTTCCTCGCCCTCCCACATCACACTGTTCACTTGAGCTGTGCTGTGTTATGCTGTATTTGTGTGTCTAACCCTCTTCATAGCATGGTGGGTTGACCTCAGCCTGACCTATTTTTTATACCTCTGTGTTTGCTTCTTTGAGTGTTTATTGATTGTCGTGTTGAGCACCTCCTATCTGTGTATTCAAATGTCTTGTTTTTTTTTTTTTTCTTTTGAGATGCAGCCCCCCGCACCACCGCAGAAAATATCCAAATTGTTTTTTTGTTTTTTTTTTTACCTTGAAAAACTGCTTTTCAGGAATTGTCATTTCTTGGTACTAGTGCATTGGGCCTCGTTCCAAACTGACATCTGTCTCAAATTTCCTGAATGTCCTGCATTGGAATTTGTTTCAGATTTGAAGACTGAAGGTGAAACTAAATCACATTTTTGCAGTGACAGATCAATCAGTATGCTATAAATCTTCAGTGCAGCTGTCGTCTCATTTCATCTTTTACTTTCCTGTTCCACAAACATCCAACAGACAGGCAAATCTGTGTGTTTCACATTGGAGAGGGAGCTGTTGGTAGGATGTACTTGAAACCCTCCCTCTCTTGTGGTGGATAAAAAATGGAGAAAATGTCAAGTGATGGTTATGTGACAACATTGCCCAAAGTGAAAAGAAAACTCTGGTCAAATAATGAGAACACAGACACCTAAAATATTCACAGGGCCTCAATACATCATTGGTTACAGTTATATTATGATCTATTTAAGCACTTGGGAAATCCCTATACTTTGTTCTTTGAGATTAAGGCGGCATTCAGAGATGGATGTAATTCCTTTATGATGGTTGATTTAGAAATTTTTGCTGAAAATCTCAGTTTTTAAAGCAGTACAAGCTTATACGATTAATATGTGTACTGTTAGCAGTGTGGGCTGACGTGTTGATTTGTCTCCTGCTGCAAACTGTGTTTATGAAAACTCAAGTAAGAATACAATCTTGAGAGTGATTTAATTTTGTTTTTCTTCATAGGAAATGGAGAAATACTTAGTTCCAATACTAAAATACGGTTACCTAAATGCTACTGATGCTAATGGTTTAGCATACGCTGTGTTAAGTGCCTGTAGGTTGATCAAGTAACTTACAAGCTTTAAAGTCAATGTACTTGCTTAATTTGTAGTGTTATGTCACAAATTGCTACAGTTTAAACAACATGTAAAAGTGCTAATAACTAGCCACTTTACTACTTTCAGTATGTTTAGCTAGTAGCATGCTACATAGCTAACACCTCTGGGCACATGGGTAGTTTTGGTGTCTTTGTTCTCATGACTCAATGAGTGTGTTGACCAACAGGACAATGTAACGAAAACTTAATGTACTTAAATTACACTGGGGTCAATCCACCTTTAGCTAACCGCAAGGTCGACAAATCAGAATGGCGGGAAAAGACAAATTTCGGACCTTGGGGTTGGGGCTGTGTAGAGTAAAGATGTTGGCTTGTGTGTACAGAGACGAATATCAGAGGAAAATGTTTATTATTTTGGTGGAGACATGCTGCGGAGTCTCCTGTCGTTACCCCTGCTGATGTAAATATAGAAAGAGACTATTTTGTTTATAAGAGCTTGTGTAATTTAAAGGTGTACATTTCTCTATGTTTTCAGAGTTGTGTGTGTGTGTTTTTTCCTTGAAAGATAATAAATTGGTTGTGTTAATTGTGTTTGGTATAATTCTTTATAATAAGTATGTGCATGCGTGTCAGGGTTGTGTGAATCTCCCCACAGTTCTCTGGGTGGTTCAGTAATTACTTTGCTCCATAATTCAGGTCTCCCAGAGGACTTTCCCAGGGTAACGCAGCTCTTTTCAGCTCATGCCAACATTTACACATTATATCAGCATGACAGCATATTCTTCCATATTGTATTTTTCCCTGTTATACAGTTTGTCAGCTGATAGGAAGCAGGAGACCTTGTGAAGTGGATAGTTTAACTCAAACACAGCTGAAACTAATGACGCTAATAACGATGTCATCGGTATTGTGCATGTTGTCCCACTGGAACAGACACACCTGAATGGAGCACAGCTGTCATTGGTGTTGGTAGTTAAACCTGTGATTGTGGAAGCAAAGTGGTTCAAGGAAACATGTGATGCTTGATAGATGAAAACACTGTGAAGAGAAGAATTTCAGTCCTGAAGAACAATGAGAAATGTCATTCAAATCATAATATAGGGAGGCAATGGAGGCAGTTTGATCACAAGCATTATGCAGCATTACATCAAAGCTTGTAAAATTACCCCAGAGCCGAATCAACACTTCTCTGATAGACTCGACAAAACCTGAGGATGAGACGGCCCAAAGAGCCAGGATTAGCTGCAGGGCTCCTGTAGTGGACTGAGCCATTTTGGACAGGTGTTCATATTATGATACCACCTTCTGATAAGGCACCAAAAAGGGTTTCTAAGCTGTGATTAATGGCTTTACTAATGGTTAATAAATCATTTACTTATGATTTAGAGATCATTTGTAAGCCATTAATGAGAACAGCATTTGGGTTGCCAGGTTGTGTTGTTGTTGTTGTGTCGTGTGCAGTCGTAAATGTCAGTATGACATCAACAAAGGGTCATGGGATTGCAAATTTCTAATGAGCCATTAGAAAAAGTTAGTCAATCACATGTATTTATAAATGTTAATAAATCAATCATGAGAGTGATTTAATAATTTAGAAATGGATTTTGGTCCAGATGTCCTGTGGCCCAAGAGCTCATTACAAGGACAGGCAAAGTGTTGTGCTGGTGGAGGTTTGTCCACAAATATGGCGACCCAAAGTTACTTTTATGGCTTATAACTGGTAAATAACACATTAGTAAAGTAAAGACGTACTATCGATTAATAGATCCATTAATCCCAGTTTATAAACCCTTTATAAATGGTGCAGTACAGGAAGTGGTATCCATATTACTGTGTCTATCCCATATTGTCAATCTACTATCAGAGCAATGACTTGTTTAAGTTTTAGATTTACATAGGCTCAGTTACTTAAGAACTACTATGGAGCATGAAGTGTTGAGTATTAAATAAGTTAATTCATTCTTAAATAAGGACACACAAATAAATTATGTAAAATATGAAACAATAATTTATGAAAATATTTAAGAAATTATTCAAACTCAATTCATTAACATGAAATGTTATTCTCATATTTCATAATTTATTCTAAAATGCAAATTTTAGAATAGGAAAGTTTTTATTAATTTTTTTCATACTTGGTTGCATTTTTTTCCCCAATGACACTTTTATTCACTTTTTATGCCCTCTCACATTTCAGCCAACCCTGTGCCTCCTCCCTTTCTTAAGCTAGCAAGCTAAACAACTGCAATCAGATGGCCAGTTAGCACCTGTTAGCTAGAGCAAAAACAATGTCAAAGTGATGCTGAATCAACTCTCAATTTAGCTGAAAAAAGCTGCACATGCTACTAACTAGCATGTGGCTAAAAACCTAGGTTGAGTTGTGAGATTTGATAATTAATCAGCATCAAAGTGAAGAGTCAGCTTCATTATGACTGTGTGGGAATGATTTGTTCAGATTTGACTGACATTAGCCAGCCAATGCAAGCAACAGCCCACAGCTGTCAAATACTGATAAAATCCTGATTGATGCACAGAAACATCACTGACATAAATCTCTCCACTGCAACGACCAAAACTGTTGTAGAATAGCATGTAGTAGTTGCATGTAATTCATAGTAAGACGCTGATTGAGAATATAACTTTTTATGGCCTGTCTCTTTAAAAATTTGGTGATAGCCCTGAAAAAGCCACTGTAAAACCTTAGGGATCATTGTATTCATTGGTAATAATCTGCTGTGTAATGCAGATGTTCACATTGTCACTTTCACAAAATGCTGGTATCTGCACTAATGGTTTGATTCTTGAATGGTGCTAACTCAGTTTTTTATTTGTGGCTATTAAATATAGCAAGGTAATGATGTGAGTGTGTATACAAAAGAGGCAGATGTGAAGTCAGAGACATGAAAAGTTGTGTGTCTAGCATGTTGGAAGTCATCACCATAGTGTGTCAGCCTGTGTGTGTGTGTGTGTGTGTGTGTGTGTGTGTGTGTGTGTGTTTTGGCAGGATGTCCTTCAACAGAGGTTTTTGCCTTCCTTCCTCCTGTCAGGGCCAAGGCACAGGGTCAGCTGGCATACAGACACAAACAGAGGAGAAAACTGGAGAGTCAACAGAGGACAAGTCGGATATTGGTAGTTTCATGAATTCCCAGCACCTCTGACACTGTGAAAAATCATAAGGAGACTCAGTTGTTTTTTTTGTTTTTTTAAATCATTTTATATATTTTTATGGAAATATTTACTGACAACTGTTAAATAATTCTTCTTGCCACTCCTACAGAGGTGTGAAGGATCACTGTACAGTAAGCTTTTCACAGTATTTCTTACAGTATTTACATCCTCCATCTCCGCTGACCACACACACTGACGCAGCATCTCCTTTAGCAGTGGATGAGTACATTTACAAAGTCACATCTACAAGCCAATCACTGGCTCCTTTTACACAGCGCTCTACATTTCAAGTCAAAGCATTTACAAAAAGTAAATATCAGCATACAAAGGAAAACAAGTAATCAGTTAACTGTACAGTGTTTCTTAAAATTAAGTTAGTACATTCACACACAAAAATAGTTAATCTCAAATGAACTGCAATGCAAACTCTCTGAAGCTAACCATTTTGGTATGATTAGAAAACAAAAAAAGAAAATGTGTAAAATGCAATGTTAAATTCACTCAATAAATAGACCCTGTTTACAACTGCTTTCAAACCTAAAAGGCCAAGCACAAAGAGGGAAATCTTTGATAGCCAGCGTGGAACAGGAAATTCAGACAGCCTGTATGAGATAAGAGCAGCCGCCGCAAAAACAGATAAACGTACTGGTCTATAAATAGGCAACGTTTCAGGAACTTCATCGAATATTCACACTAATTCTGTGTTTGGCTCATTGTCACTTTACCCAGTGTGCTTTGAAATATTTAAAGTATGAAAATGATACTTGCATGCATGCATGCAGTTATACTTCTCAATTTCATCCTGCAGTGTGGAGATCTGTTACTGCTGGATAAACTAGTCAAACATTATTGTCAGTGCAGTCAACAGTGCAAAACCTTTAGCTAACTTTTTAGTGAACAAAAGAAGTCGATGAAGATAATGTGATGCAATTGAAAGCCTCTGAAAAAGCTAGTAAGTGAACCTTTACATGAAATTGTTATGTCTTGTTAGTAACTTAGATGTATTTGTTGTACAGTGCCAGTTTGTGTATCTAAAGAGTAACTTAACACCTACTGAAAAGTGGTTTAACTTCTCACCTTGCTGCAGTGATGTGTACTAGAGGGTGTGTCTATACACTGTGACATCACTGTTGGGTGTGGTTACAGATACAACCAGACATACCAGTTAAAACACTGCTTTTCAGCCTGCCATTAGGTTACTCTTTAAAGACCTGTCAATCATTTTGAGAGTGATAGTAGGTTTCAGGATTTTTGATGCTAAGGGAATGTTTGATCACTCATTGTGCTTTTAACATGCTGTAAAGTTACATGTGTTCAGAGAGGGGTGACCCTCCCTATGAAAGTCTAAGGGAATGCAATGTTGAAGCCTTTACAATATAAACTGGATTGAACCATTTCAGTAGCATGAAGAATATTTTGGTGCCAAACAATACAGTGGGTAAAGTGACCAATGGGCACAGCTGCTAAAATATTAGCGCACCCCAGCATGAGTGCAACCTCAGTTCTGTGTGGAATGTGTTTTCAGTTCAACCAGACATTTAACTCTCGCCTTTAACATTAGTGTCTGCTACAGTGTTAGATGCCATTTCAGAAAAAATTAAATAAACCCGCCCAACTTTGTCTCTTCAAAAATCCTAAACTGTGTCAACAGATGAGGTCCACTCGGGGTCAGTGTCCTCCATTAAGTGAATGAAGAAGTTCATTCAGTGCTCATTGGGTGCAAATGCCCTTTTTATCTAGGCTAAATTCCTACCACCGTATTAGGATTGTGCGTTCAAGCAGCAAGCTCACTAATTTGGCCTTTGTCTGAAAATCTACTAAAGCAGATTACTCCACTATTAGGTCCCTAAAATAAGGGCCTCTTGATTAAATTAAAAATCCACTACTGTTGTGGGTGATTTGAGCTTTTTCAAGACAGTGCCATTGGTTGCTTTTTGCTCCCAAATATGTGCCATCATATGAGTACATGTTTTACTAAGTGACTCTTAAACCCATTTAGTCTCACACAGCCCTAAAAAAAAGAGTTATAGTTCACATTCAGAAGGCTATAATCATAACTTCAAGGATAAGAACCACAGACACATTTCAGATGTAAATGTGATCCTGCTCAAAACACTTCACCTGACTGAAAACCATTATCATCAGTCTCTGTCTCTGTCTGCTCTGCTGTTCAGGAAGGCTGCTGCTCACCTGGGAAACTAATAAGCCGTCAGTTACAAGAGACCCATTGTGGAGGACAAAGGTCAGAGCTCAGTGTCACCCCCTGCTGGGTCAATGAGGGGTTAAATATCCTTAAGAGTGTGTGTAGGTGAGAGAGAAGGCACATCCCTTTTCTGCAGCCTGGTAGCATGAATGAATAGCTTCCTAAGATTCATGTATGTGCTCATCATTCCAGTTTAATCGGGTCAGTGATTGCGTCGATTGGGAGGAGGCGTCAATCCTGTGCTTAAGTTCATTGCTTGTGTAGTATCAAGATTTTTCTGAGAGACGGGTCAGTGTCACGGTGTCTGCAGGCCTCAAAAAGGAAAACTGTATTAACTATTAGCAGTCAGAATAAGAAAAAAAGGAAAATAAGAAATTAATGAGCAAGGGCACCCTACTCCTGATTCTACACATAAAGAACTGGTTAATGATCATAGTTAGTGAAAACAGCTGAACGACTCTGGAAGGAACTTGATCAAGTCAGAGAAAATGGCTCAAGGCGAGCTGAAACGATTAGTCGACTGGTTGATTGACAGAGACTATTTTGATAACTGCTCAGTCGTTGCAGTCATTTTCTAGCAAAAATGGTGAAAAAGTCCAATCACTGGTTGCAGGTTTCACAATGTGCAAATATGTTGCTCTTATTTGTCATAGATCAAACAACAGGTCAAACTGAATATTTTGGGTTTTTGACCATTGGTCAGACAAACACTAAGACATTTAAAAAGGCCACTTTGGACCCTGGGAAGTTTTGATGAGCATTACTGCCCTGCTAATGAAGGTACTCATTAGTCACAGCAAGTGACATCATTTGAGTCATTTCATCTTGGGACTGAAGACTACAAACTCTCAAGAGATACCCTGCGTTGTAAACTTGGAATTTCAAGTTAAAGACATGGGGATATACCAGTCAGGGAAAAGATGTACCAAGTTGCATTATGGGATCCATTGTTTTTGGAGTAACCCTAACCCTAACCCTAACCCTAAAAATCAGGAGCCTCTGCTGCTTCAATTTTGATTTGATTTTAAGTAAGTGCAATACTACATTGCCAGAGTACCTCTTTAGGAGATATAAGACGAGACAACTAAATCTGCAGTGTATTAACACAAGACTGGACTCAAAGTGCAAAGGATCCTGGTAGGAATCAGAAGTCGTAGCCTCAAGCAGAAATGAGGAGTGGGCTACTTGGACTGTCACTTGTTCAAAAAGTCAAGTTTGAACAAATCTGAACTGACACATAAAACTGACTTGAATGCATACATATAGCATATCCATACTGCAGTTGCCACAAGTATCAGTTAGCACGACTCCTCAGATTTGTTGCTGTTGTTGTAGAGTCAGGTAACTGCTTTTTACAAAGTCAGAAAACAGCCTCATCTTTGTTGGAAATTTTGCCAACTGTGGCAAAGAACCATAGAACCTCCTAAAAATACTGCCTCACACTGATTACGCAGTTAGCATGGGCTTGCTCACTAGTATCTTCCTCCATTTTTATTCATTAGCTTAATTCACTGTGAGTGTCAACTGGACATGAAATACGTCAAGCTGGTAGTGAACTAGCCCTCTGCTTGACCACAAGGCAAACTACTTCAGACAGTCTGATCAACTTATAGTACGTTTCGAACAACTCTACAGTTCAATTTTTTTTTTTCATACATTGAAAGGAATGTTTGAATTTCAAATAAAAAGTCACAGCACTACAGGCTACAGAGGTCTGGTAAGCTCACCTATTTCTAATGCCACACCTCCAGATTTTTTATTTTTCAACTTGTTCAGCCCCAACCGACGCCGACTCAAGTGACATCACTTGAGGAAATTTCACACTGCTCAAAAGGTTTTATTAAACTTTTTTCACATTTGCAATAGGACTCCCCAATACCTGTAAACAGACTTTGATGTGTAAAACCAGTCAAGTCCCGCTTTAAGGGTTCTAGCATTTTTGCTGACAGTAGAATGAGGATTTCCTCCCTACAGGAAATGACAAAGTTAGTGTCAGAGTCAGATGACGTCTTTTTCCATCCAAGTACGAGGTGATGTCACGATGGAAACAAAGCCCCAGATAGACTTGGTTTGACCCTCCATATAACTTATGCAATGTCTGATTAAATAACAAAATTTGGCCTAGAATCTGTGATGTGTATAGGAATGGATTACAGTATGGTGCTCTGATGTTAAGACGGCCAGTGGAGCAGGTGTTGATGCCTCAATATCCACTGACAAAGGGAGAGATGAAACAAAACAGGGGTGGGAGGAGATAGTAATGTGAACAGGGATCAGACACAGGAAAGCATTAGACGTGGTGAGGAGGGGGGGGGGGGATTTTTCCAAGAGGTCTGGAAAGTTTAACAGAGCGCTTCACTTTAACCATAAAAGTCAAGAAGGTGGAAAAACAGTATGAGGACAGAAATGCACACAGAGTTTAGAGTGACATTTACACAGGTCCGTTATTTAAAAAAAAAAAGAAAAGAAATCTATCTCCCCTCCTGCTTCAGTTCCACTTCCCATTTCAACACAAAGCAACACTTACTAAAGCAACCCAAACTGAAGAGTTGTTGACCTGAGATGAATAATCCACATAAATAAATAAATGCACCTTTAGCCGCTCTCTATCACTGATTGCTATAACACAATAGTGATTCAACCAACAGCCAGGCCATGAAAAGCTTTTCTATTTGCTGTTCCACACACTCAGTGTCTGGTAGCTCCTTCCAGGGGAGAAAGTCCACTAGCACACAGAAAAGTATGTTTCATATTTCAGCAGCAGCAAAAGCAGTTTGCTGGGAACAGCTAGAGGAGAAACCGACAGAAGCTCAACCTGCATCGATCCGGGGAAAGAGGAACGACACAGTGCTGCCCACAGTGTGTGATGCACAGGCGATCTCTGGGAAATGCAGTGCAGAAATACCGCGGCTACAAGCACTTAGCACCATAAATGGAGAAATGAGAGGAAGGATCACATAGATTAGAAGTCAAACTGTTAAAATAACTTAAGACAGAAGGAGGAATGGTCCCACCGCACACCACATGCAGAATGTGAGGAATCCCAGGTGAAATGCCACTGGAGTCAGTTTCTAACTGCATTGAGGTCGTGGCATTGAGCCATAAGATACACAGAGAACAGAACGAACTGCCAACGTCAGCATCAAACTCTTGGTTACAGTCTCATCCTTCTTTTGACCTTCATTACCAGCACCGTGGAACATATTGGCGCCAGTGTGACAGATAATGAAGCAGGTTTTAAGTGAGTGAACTTTACCCCAAACTCAGACTGCTGTGCTCACTACGCCTGGTTCAGCTGCAGAGGGAAAGCGAGACGTCAGGTTTATCCAGATAAATTAAGAACATAGACAAGCACACACTCACATACACACAGCGAACGCACATGAGTTTTATAATTCTTGAGCTAGGGTTGTGACAGATGTGAAGCTAAGTTTGGAGGAATAAAAGAGGAACTGCACTCGTTGCAGAAAAGGATGCCAGGTAGACCACGGAGTGGTCCATCAATAGCTGGCTCACAGAGAAGCGTTCCCACCCTACAGGACGTCCCAGCACGAAACCTGTTGACACCCTCCCGCCTGTCTTCTCGCCTCATCCTGTCCTCCTCTGTCTCCTCTCATTCTGGGATCTGCATGGCCATCACTGCAGGTTTGGTCTTAAAGTACTGGTTGAAACGAAGCACAGCGTACCTGCAAAAAACAAGAGGAAGGAGGTGGTGAAGACACAGAGTCATAATTTTTATTTTTTAATTTAATTTTGATTTCCTTTTGGTTATGTACCATTAGAGATGCATTTGACCCTTTATTCTAGTCAACATTTGGGAGGACCCATTGTGCTGTTATGTTTGTATTCAACTCAGGATGTGAAAAGGAAGGCTAATGGTAAGGCACTAGACATTACTTTTCATTCGTGTCATTTCAACATCTGCTGAGTCATTGATAGTTCTCACACATTCATTATTGTGTTTGTCTGACATTATATAAAGGAGGGCATCCGTCTGGTATTAGTTCTGTCCTTCACAAATGCAGTGACAGCAAATGACCAGACTGTCAGAACTCTATGTATTCGCACGTATTTTGGATCTAATAATTTAATAATTAGCTTTGCTATAGAAAGTGTTTTCTTAATACTTTCTGCGCCATCACAGACAATAAGCTAACATTAGCAAACTAGAGCACCAAACGCCAGCACTAACAAATGAGATCAGCTAACCAACACACACTGCAGTGCTTCACAAAACTTTCAACTGATTCTGTTCAGGAGAAGAAAACAACTTAGTCCATTGTCTATTTCATTTCACAGGCCTGTGTCCAAACAGTGCTCTGGGTAATGTTAAGTTTCACTTCCTGAATCTGAGAGTCTGAACAAAATTGTGACACTAATACCCTTTTAAGCAGATTTTTTTAAACACTAGTAAACCTGCTAAAAAAGGCAAGTGACTCTTTGTTCACAGCCAGACGAGTTTTCCTGAGAGGACACACACAACTGCAGGGAGCGATGTCATCACAAGCAGTTGCAGAGCACACACCCAGACGCAAGGGAGAAAGAGTGAGCTGCTAGCCGTCGTGCAGACTGGATCTGAATTCACTCTTTCATCCTCTGGCGCAGTGTAGCCACGGTGTTTCTGGTTTAACAGCACCGAGCTGGACAGGTGACAGGTGTGCTTACAGTGTCTGTGCTCTGAAAGACGTCACAACAGGAAAAGGAGTGAAAATTAGCGAGTTGACGTGGGTGTTGTGTTTACATCAATGCTGATCAGAGCAGATAAATACGTGCTTCTACTGCAGAGTCATTTGACCCAGGTGTGAATGCCGAATTTTCCCTTTTCCATTGCCGACAAAAGCCTGACGTTAGCGGGGCTTAGTGGGTTTTTTGACCGGTGGAAAAGGGGCTTAATTAGAACTAAAATAAATTATAGGGTTCCCAAAGATTCTTTGGTAATTACGATTTTTACAAAATATGTACACAATCAAACCAATCACCAAGTAGATACAGTGGGACTAGACTCTAACCCTCCAAAAGTCTGAGATCACTTTCCCATTTAAGTGATGGGGAAATTGGTCTCAGACTTTTGGACTCCACTGTGTATATGTTATGTTATGTCACGTCAAAAACATATTTCATTTTAATTTTAATACACCTCCATGCTATGCAGCAGTAATCAAATTAGTAGACAGGCTCTTTTGACAGTCAAGCCGTTGGCAACATAGGAGTGCTAGGGTTGCAGTCCATGAACCTCCTTAGGTCTACTTCCTGGGAGGCAAACCTGGTGTCCGTTTGTGTTACAGGTAAGTGGACATAGAGTGTTAAGTGGTATGGAGGTTCACAAATGAAATAAGAGCCATGTTGGCTTCAGGGTTTTCAGTTTCAGTCTTTCATAATGTTCTGTTTAACCCGCACTGACAGATTCTTTTCAAACACACAGTCCAACTTATGACTCTATTCTATTCCACACAGGGGGCACCACACACAGCTCTAAGTCTTTCTCACACACACAACCAACCTTGTTTTACTATATTCATGGGGACCCAACGTTGACACAATGCTCCTTACCCTAACCTTAACCATCACAACTGAATGCATAAACCTAATTCTAACCTTAAACCTGACACCAGGTCTTGGCATTCAAACAGCCATTTAAACTTGTGGAGTCCAGCACTATGGTCCCCACAAAGCTGTCAGACCCCACATGTAAAGTGGGGTCTGACAGCTTTGTGGGGACCCCATAAATACTGTATAACAAGCCCAATCTCACAAGCACAAACTTACCCAAGGAAGTCAAAATCAATGGAGGAGTATTTGGCCTGGATGAGCGCCCAGAAGCCCCAAAAGAAGTGAGAAGCCTTGAGAGAGACAAATGGGATATTAGATGAGGTGAAGTAATGTGAGACACGGTGGGTGTGAGTGTGTAAGAGCTTGTGTGTGTTTGCCAACATATTCTTCCTCACCAGAGCAAACTTGTTGACCTGTACGTAGAGTGTCTCCAGCTCTCGTGGGCTGACCTCCTCTGTTTTCTTGGTGAAGAGTTTGTATGCCTGCAGGTAAACTTTGAGCCAGTCCATTTGCATCTCCCGACTGGGGTACAGCCCGTAGTCCAGCTCAGTCATACCTGGTCACATACGAGATGTATAAGCCAAACTACATGGAAAGATTTACACTCACATACAGATCACACTGTGGTTCAACAAACCTGCAAATTCGTTGAAGTGGTTGCCAATGTCGAAGGCCTGGTAGTTGTAGCTGGAGTATTCGTAGTCAATGAACCGAACATGACCTGAAAAAACAACATGTACAGCTTATTAAGGTGCAGCTGCTCAAAAGCAGCTTTGCTAACGCCACTCCCAACCAGCCACTGAGAAGACATTTGGGTCATTAAGCCTGGTTAGTAAAAATGGAATATCAAACTGCTTGTCTAAAGACCTGATCAGTGGGGTTCAGATGAGAGCACCTTGTGGTGTTAATGGTTCCAATATCGTCTGACATAAATGTTATCTGACATAAATACAGATTGAAATAACTGTGCTGTGTCTGTCCTGTCTCATGATTTCATGCTGCCGGTTGTTCCTGTGCTGAAACTCGTTCTCCTTCAACTTTCACCCTCCTGTCTGAAGACATAACAGGATCACTCTTCTGAACTGATACTAAACATCAAATGTGCAGTTTGGAGGAAAAATATCTAAAAATCACTTCTATGATAATAATTAAAATAGTTACTATTAACTGACATTGAAAGAGTCCAGTGACAATGTAGAATCCTGTATTTTCCTGTCTTAATATCATTCATATCATTATATCATACACTATTGGCTCATCGTACAGACTCTAGTTGGGAAGCACAGGGGAGACATAGGAACTTGGCTTTAGGAGTTGTAGCATTAATTTACTGACACACAGCCTTAATTGCACACACATTGCACTCTTAGCTATACTGCTAACTTCTTGCTAACTCTCTGCTCCAGTTGTCAGCCTCACTGCTCTCTCTCTTCCTCTCTCGCCCGCGACACAACCTACGTACTGAGCTATTCCTGAAAGGAGCCGCTCTACTTGTGTAACACAATGCTGTCTCAAACCTCTCAAACTGCAGATCTTGCACAGAGATGCCCTTATTTTAATGTACTAGTTTATTTTCTATTGTAAAGCACTTTGAGCTAAATCACAGTGTAATTTGCTAATTTTCTTGCTACTGCTAAGACTGTTGAAGTTATTTTCTAATGCACAAGTTCAATTCCACACACATCCATGCTATATAATGTATAATCTGTATTCTGTGTGCAATATCGTAACTGATCTAAGCTTGGTGGAAGATGGCAAACTAGCTAGTCACCTGTCAAACATCCCAGAGTTATCAATATGCATTTGCAAACGTCCAAATGCTGCTCGCCTGCCTGCTTGACAAGCCCTTTACAGGCGTTTACACTCACACCTGTACGTAATAAACATTCTTGTTTTCTTATCATCAAGGCAAGAGTCTCGGCTAAGGTCACTTAAAATGTAAGAAGGTCACCAGAGTCAGTGAAGAAGTTTGTTTGGAGTAAGGAGACCTGTAAATGTGATCAGCTGATAACTGATTCTTAAGAATATGGTCAAACTGTACAGATGCAATTTAGACTTGAGATCTGATCACAGATCAGTCAGATCAACTCCAGACATGGTATGGCTGAAGCAACAGCAGTCCTACTGCAATTCAATAGGCTTGTAATTACACATGCATTAATGCATTCTTCCTTATCCAGATATGATATTCAGATACAGAACATATGTTAATATCAGGTGTAAATGGGGTTGAAAATAGAGCTGTAAGGATTAATGGGCAACAGTTTGGATGTCTGATAAATTGTTGGAACCATATTTTTTGAGCAATAATGACAACAATTAATTGGTTCCAGCTTCTAAAATGTGAATATTTGGTGATGTGATAGCTCAGTTTTCTTTCATAGTTAAGTCAATATTCCTGTGTTTGGACTGCTCTGGTAAACTGTGTTGGACATTTATAGACCAAACAATCTATCAAGAAAAATCAGATTAGTGGATAATGACAATTTTCCTTAGTTACAGTCCTAAACTCTAAAATATGTAATACATTATACAAAATATCCCTACTGTTTTTGGTGCTGCAGTGTGGGGAGTGAAGATCATTCTGACTGTGGGAGAGGATGACACCCAAATCGGGTGACGCTCGATTTAAGCGGAAGGTACCTACCCTCTTTGCTGTTGTGGATGATGTTCTTGCAGAGCAGGTCATTGTGGCAGAGCACCACAGGGGAGCCCAGCGTGGAGAGATGCTCCTTCATCCACACCATCTCCTGCTCCAGCACCACCTTGCTGGGAACCTCCTGCTGGATCCTGGACAGGGAGCGCAGAGACAGAGGCAGAGAAGGAGAAAGAGGAAGAGGAAGAGAAAGAAAATGTCAGATCTTTAACACACTTCAGGTTCTTCTCATTAAACAAGTATTCGGACATCACTGGGCCCAAGTGTATGGTAAAGGAAAGTGACAGGAATTGTTTTACTAGTTGTTATGGACCAAAATAAAGCACCTTTCATTGTTTTTGGTATCATTAATAAGTGGGAACATGCTGCAGGTGATGTGAACACAGCTGAGACCAACATGCACAAACAGCACACAGGCTCAGTGGGGCACTGCCCGACAGGCTCCTGGGATCACAGCTACAGAGAAACAAGTTCTCAGAGGATACTCCTGGTGCTGCAGAGTGCTCCTGAATCACCATGGATACACCACTATGTCTCCTTTTGAAATGGGCTTTGAGACCTGATTACACATGCTTGATTTGGGATTTATTTTATAACTGTTTGTACATATTATGCTTGAAAATGGCACTGAAGCATCTCCTGCAGCTGCATTAAAACATTTGACCTTTTCCATCTGTGGGCACACGACACAGGCCCGCTCAACGTTTAGTGCTCAGCCCAGGCCAGATGACTCACAGTGACCCCTTCAGATTAACAGCAGGTGCAGCTTCAACCTGTGTCGGTCTGAAAGTGGTATTATTGGCTAGTTGAGAAAGGGTTAGGTTGCTGAGTTAGTGTCTCAGCCAACCAGACCGGTGTGTGCTGAGCAGAGACCCCTGTGCTGACTGTAATGGGTTTACCGGGCTTAATCCACAGTTAGCCTGATAGCAGGAGATGAGAGAAAGCAGGGAGTGAGGCTGGGTTAACACACACACACACACTCTCACTCTCCTCGGAGATCTCTACCTGGCTCGCTGCCTCTCCTTAACCTGTGGCCTCTCCAAGAGTCTCAGCTGTTCAATCCCTGCCTGGCCTATAGCACAGATATCACACTGTTGATCTATGGGAGGTGGCCAGTATTTTTTGTCATCACTACTGAAATAATTCTATGTAACAACAGAATATTATATATATTTACATATGTATGTATGTATGTATGTATATATATATATATACAGTATATATAATGTGGCTTTCTCTTCTCTCTGCTTCAGACCGCAGTGTAACAAGTGTCTGCTGCTCAGGACCAGGACACTCTGGCTGTCTACGTTACCAAGGAAGAGAGTAAAGTGACCTGACACAGAGCTAAGCAAACATCTGCTGGCCCACTGCATGCCTCAGACTCCCTAATCCAGTCGGCTATTATTGTTGCAGTTATGTAAGCCACATGCTGGACTTAATCTAATAGCCATCAGAACAAAGATACCAGCTGTGACTGGGCAGCTGGCCAGGTTATGAAACAGTCTACCTTTGTCGGCTCCACAGGTCCAGTGCCAAGACGCGGAGCGAGCCATCTTCAGCATGAACTCCTCTGAACTATTCATCCTTCCTCTTTCCCACAGATGACAATACAAGTGCATGAAAATCATTTCTCAATAGCAAATGCACCGACCTTATGTTTGTGTGTGTGTGTGTGTGTGTGTGTGTGTGTGTGTGTGTGTCAGTGCAGGGATCAAAAGTTGTTGGATAAGTTCAGAGAGTCACAAACTCTCTGTTTTTTTCCAGTGTCTTTGGTTACAAGCTGTCTCATTATCACATCACCTGATGAAGCTGATATATTTGAGGATAAGACAATTATATGTTGAAGACATCAGGTATTCTTTTTGAATGGAGAGAGCGCAAGTGTAACACCGGCTCCTACAGAGTGCTGCATCATGTGCAGACTTACTGTTACTAAGCTCGCGAAGTCCATTTATATCGAGTCTTTCAGGTTTGCTGTGATGGAGGAAATAATATGTGAAAACGTCTCCTGACGTCGTTACTGCAGAAACAGACAGCTGTTAAGTATTACAGATATCTGAAATGATGAAAAGCTCAAACGGACAAAAACATCATTCTGAGTGCTTCCAAGAGGTTGAAAGGAGACTTTATGAATATGTGACGGACAAGCTACACAAATGTGAGATTTACATTCTGTTTACAATTTCATGTTTCAGTTGTGGGATAAAAGGGTTCAGAGATGGATAACATCTTCTCCTTGGATTAAAAGTATCTCAGGGAAACTTCCCCAACAGAACCAAGTGTGAACATTTGTTGCATCTTCAAAAACAGGTGTTGGAAAAGGGAGGATCCTCTGATAATCAGGGTGACCTTATATTAGGGCCAACACAGCACAATGTTTACCATGTTCATTATCTTAAGCTAACATGTTAGCACGCTAACATTTCCTAACATTTCCTAATCAGGAATGTCAGTAGTTTTTGATGTATTTGGTCATAAACTGGACACTCTTTATGAAAATGCATGTCTGTACAAAAATTCATGGCGAGCCATCAACAGCTGATGAGATATTTCCCTCTGGTTCAAAGTGGTGGACTGATTGATCAACATTACCATCTCTAGTGCCACACCACTACCATGGCTAGTAATGCTACAACTAATCTACTAACTATTGCTGGGTGATAAAAAGACCTTGATAACTATTACAAAAAAAAAAAAAATTCCCACAATAATGATGATCAACTGATGAATACGTTTTTTATAAATGTATCTGCTCTACATTTGGATCAATCATTTGTGTTACAAAGGATGGCAAAATTGTGGCAAAGAGAGGTCACACAACCTCATCTCCCAGGTTTGGAAATGGTGTAGTTTTCTAAAGCTGCATGAATAGTGCAGTGACGTCTGTTGCAAGATATGCAGCGCACTGTGCCGAAGAAGACTAGAAACACAGCAAACTTTTTCACCAAAGACAACATTACCATCCCACCATCACAGTGTACAGAAAGCTAAAGTCTGCGCACCCAAAGTGCTAGCACTGATGCTAGCAGCCAAGCACCGGTGCAGCCGGTGTTGCACAGTGTTCAGGCACACACTAATTACATAACTTCCCCACTGTCCCCTCTGTCTTTTTCAATTTTTCATAGACATAAAACCCATTTGTTCCCACATTCATCCAATAAAAAACTTGTAAAAATACTAACGCCTATTTAGCGATATTCCAGATTTAAACCCAATGCCAAAGAGAAACCTGAAAACATGAACGAGGCCATCAGCAAACTCAGTCTGTAATTTACAGACACTGAACAGACACACTTCTTTTCTTGTAAAATGAGTGTGATCAGTAACACCAGTGTTGTCACCAGTTTATTACCCAGTGGGAAAATTTCCACACCGTGGCTTCGCAAACAAGCCTCTCGTGGTATCAGCAGCTGCTCCTGTCGGCCTCCTCAGGCATTACCTGATATGATGAGAGCTCAGAAAGAGGCAAGGACACAGCAAGTGCAATTTCATACTTCACTTACTGAAAGTGTTTTATTCTGGGTACTAAGTGCCCGGATGGGAACATTTTTCAAAAACGGATCTGCCTCAGCTTTATGAAGATTGGGTGGGCAAGGTGGGAGAGCAGCTTTACACACTGTAATCAGGCTGTACGACAGAGCTTTACAAATGTAACACTATAAATGTTATACCAGTTGGTTGCAGAGTATTGATTATTGATTAAAAAAATAGGATCATTTAGAAACTTAACAAATCTTGTGATTAATGTGGAATTCAATCCCAAATGGAATATACCCTTTCAAATTCAAATTAAAAGTTACCCACGGAGTTTCCTTGTAATCAATCAGTGTTCACAATCAGTGTGACTCAACATAACACACTGTGTGTATCACTGAGGTCTGACAAACGTGATGATCGTGTTTCCTTCTTTATTAATATTATTAAATGTATATCTCAATAACTACGTATATCAATATGATAGTATTTTTGACCATATCACTTAGCCCGACTGTGGCAGAGAGTCTGGAGTGTGAGGCCACCTTCATGTAAAATGAACTCTCTTCACTCAGCGTCTGTATGTACATGATGAGTTAGACAAACTAGCTGTGGCAGTTAGAAAATTAAACAGTGTAACTAGTTCACTAGTTAACTAATGGTACAGGCAAACCAGACTGTGCTTCATGAGCTACTGGATTATTATCACAGCATGTGCAGAGCCACAAGCATGAGGACCAACTACAAACTACTGAGCAGCAACTGAGGGTCCAGCTCTCACCTGATGTTGGAGGCTTGATCGGTGAACTCTGTGGCCACAAGGGAGAAGTATTTCCTCATCTTGATCCAGAGGTTAGGTTTGGGGATGCAGCCGTTGTGTGCGTGGATGGCATGAATACGAGCCATCTCCCTGGCTATCAGTCTGAGAGGAGGAGACACACACACACACACAAATGAATATGGTCATCATCATGACTAGATTTTCAACATGAAATGACAACAAATCCAAGGACTCAGTGACAGACAGCCCTGCTAAGGGATTAAGATACTTTTCTGTGCAAGGTTAGATGAGGACAAATATCTCTCACTGATTTCAGGGAATGAGTCCATTCCCAAAATCATCATGTAACACACATTTATTTAACAAAAAACGCCAATGACAATGTGCATTAGCAGTGAAGGGGACACATGCTTTAGGCACATTGCTGTAGTAATACAGTGACATGACCAACTATTTTGCACGGGCGCATCTTTGGAATCAGCCTTTGTTTATTTGTTTCACTTGTTTCGATGGAATCATTTGCATGTGACAGACATGTGAACGCTTCATTTGCCTCTGTAATGAACAGTGTCGAGGAATCAAAGCACGGCAAACAGTCTGTGTCTCAGTTTCTACGTAGGGAGTAGAAACCACAAAGGATTCTGAGCACGGTGCTACCTGGCACTGTTTTATAACTGCACCATCTCTAACGTGTCCCCACCTGAGTAGGGAAGGATCCCTGACATCCTGCGTCCCCAGAGCATCCCCCTGCATGAACTCATAGCAGATGCCGTTCTGAAAGGTGCAGTAGAGACGAGGAGCGCAACCATTAGCATGTAGCACCTAAAAGTGAGACACAAAAACATACAATTAGGTGGGAGAAACAAATCTGTGGCAACTTCAGAGGAGAGTACACACCCATTAAACTCCCCTTTGTTTTTACGCTACCTGAAAGCTCTTGAGCTCATTGTCTCTGTCCACAATCAGCTCAGTCTTGTTCCCGTACACTCGGACCAGCACGACGTCCTCTGGACTGTCCTCCACGTAGCAGCCCACCAGCTTGTTGGTGGTTCCATCAGTGAAGAGCTAGGAGAAGAGGAAGATAAGTCACTTGACGGGTCACAGAGACGTACCCTCGACCTCTGACTGTCCAGCACCACAGTGGTTCCCGCACTAAAGCTTCAATTTCAATCCACTCCACAGTCACACAACGCTGTCAGTGTTCCCTGGGCCTGGATCAACAGTGCAAACACCATGCAGCTCTGACCTATATGAGATAAATGTATCATAGAACAACATTCTGACTGTTTTATCCCCTGGGGGGCTGGCGCATGTTTCAGGGGCGTCACCCATCTTTTCCTGTGTTTCCACTTGGAGAAGAGATTCATTTTCCACTGAACTTTGGAATAATTTAATTCTAGAATTTACTTATAAACTCGCACATCTGTCTTCCACCATGACCACAAAACATTAAATGAAATAAGATATAAAACTACTTGCACTAATAATGGCAGAGAGGAGTAATAGGAGTGTTGATTTCATATTACATCCTTCAAACCTGGAATTAATCATGATGCAAGTGGTTAATTGATCAAACAACAATATAAACATTTCCCGAAGCTAATAGTCTATACATGTGGATTACACAGCAGTTCTTTGACTGTAATAATAATAATGTAGTGTGTGTTACCTCGTGTGAAGGATGCTGACAGTATATGGTCACATGAAGGACATTGTCTTAAAATCTACATGTTACATTTCAAACATTCTATGGGATAGAAGTTTGGGATTAAACTGTTGCATAGAAACATCTCATGAGTTACAGAACAGCTAGATATTTAATTATATATTCTTCCTCAGATCTGTGTCTGTGAAGAGAGTTCTGCTGGTCACTACCCAGGATTGGAACGTGGGTTGTAGTTTATGACTCTTATCTAGAGAGGGACAGAGGAAGGGAGGTTGGTGTGTGTGTGTGCATGTGTGAGTGTGTTCATGCATGGCACAGACAGGCCAGGATTCACACCTTAGTGTTAATCAGTCCTTTTGTTGTTACTTGTCCTATACAAGAAACAATCAAATATCATTAGACAAAGTCTTATTACAAACTGGAGATTTTGCCTATATTCTCCAGTTGCCTGGTGTCCATTGGTTAATCCTCTGGAGCTGACCCTTTGACCTTTGGTCTGGTTCTGTGTCCTGCTAAAAGCATGGTCTGTTTGTGGGAGAAGGGTCCTTTGTCTCTGTTTCCTATCAATTTGATAGTTTGATGGTGGGAAGAGTCGCAAAGTGTCAGTTGTGGGTCCGTAACTCTGCATGTCCTTATAATGAACTTCCTTAATGGCTTGTGGCTGATGCCAGGCCAGGTATGTACGCTACAGTCACATGGCTAAACTACAATACTACATATTCCAAAAATGATTACAATTAGTAAACACAAGATCTAGGTCACACGGGTATAGGCTCAAATTAAGTGGTTTTAATTAGAAACTGTTATTGCATTGTTTATACATTGGGCAAGAGAGAAAGAGCGACCAAATAGCGAGACTGGTGTCGAGTGTTGCTTGGATTTCAGCTCTCTCCTCTCGCTCTCTCTCTCTTTCTCTGACTGTTCAAAAAGTCCTATTTACAACCATGAAAAACAGCAGCTAAGAAACCGAACTGAGTGACATGTTCTGTCCTTATAAAGATCTCCTCTGCTCTGTTTAATCACAGTGCAGCACCTACACACAACAAACAGCGTCAGTCAGCTGGTTGGAGTGTGTGTGTGTGTGTGTGTGTGTGTGTGTTCCAAGCATTGCTTATATACATGAAACTATGGCAGGACAAATTCAATTTGATATTACTTTAAATACTACAACAAATACTGGTAATAATAAGTTACTACATTAATGGGTTTCTTTAATAAAAATGTTACATGTCAAAACAAGATTCACACCAGAGCTTCAAGTCCTGCGGTTAGAACCAGCAGACAAAAACAGAACAAATTTAGGGAACTCAATATCACTAGTGGTATTAGGGGATCTGAGACAATTAGAAAAAAATAAAAGTCAATTTGCCAACAATGTTCATCAGAGCAGCGTTTATTTAAGTTTATTTTAGATTTATTTCATTTTGGTTGGTCCACTTCTAGAGAAAGGTGTGACTCATTCAAACCTCCTAAACCACTGGGGAATTCTCAAAATAAATCCCATTAAAAATGACTTGTGTTTGTACAAGTGATCTTGCATGAGGCACAATGACCCCTCTGCAGGGTGGTGTTGGTGTTGCATCAGTTAGTCAACAGGTTGAGCCCAACACCCCTTCTAAAATGAAGAGTATGCAAAAAGTCTGGTGTGTCTGAAGCTGGGCCTTAAATATCTGAATGGCAGCATCACTCCAGTGGAAGCCAGTGGGCCAGTCCGTCCCACTGCGGCAAGCACAATAACAACATACACATCTCCCCCGGCCCAGACGCTCACTCACGCATATCTGACATTCCACACGTGGCTGACCACAAAGATGGGCGCACAGGCATCCCTGTTATGACCCAACATACACAAGCATACACGCCTTTGCTACCACATGACTGATCCCTTCTACCCGCCACACAATACGCCGCTAAGACCGGTGATCAATACATTGACAGACAGCGATAAGCTTGGACCCAGACAGAGGTAAACATTCATCCATATACCGCCTGACGTTTTATTTTTGCCATCAGTGAGTCTACGTTCGGTGGTCTGACTGTAACGGCCTGAAGCCGGCTTCCTTTGGCAGAGATGAGTCACTCTGACTGCAGCATGAGAAAGTTGTAAGAGGAGACTGCCGCTCGCTGTTGCTATTGGCACAAGTTGCTGTTTTCAGGAACTCAGTGTGTGTGAGATGTTTGGAAATGGACAGTGTGTATTTACAGTAAAAGTCTTCCTGTCCAGGTGGCGGGACTAAGCAGGTGTTTCTGTCAACAGTGCTGCCCTGCTGCTCCTCGCCACATTTAGCGCTTCCCGCTCTCATCAAAACAATGGTCCCGCTGCTCCAGAACATCCTTCCCAACGCAACCAAAATAACCAACATTTCTTTTTTTATTTTCTTTTTTTAAACTTAATCTCACATTTTCCTCAGTCCGTCATCATCATCATCATCATCATCATCTGCTGCTGTGACTTGGTCCGTGAGTGCGCTGCCAGTCATGCAGCTGTACCATTCCATACCAGGACAAAAGCAGCCGGTGGGACAAAGCCTGTTTGGGTGAGGGTCATTGAGAAAAGCGCTGCTGGTCTGGCCTTCAGCGAGCGAGGTAAACGACGTCACCTCCTGAGCTGCAGGTGTGTGAGTGGGTGGGGTATCAGATCCAGAGAGATTAGCCAGCAGGATGTAAACACATGGTTGCCGTGGCTGGGCTCGAACCATGGCACCGTGAGAGTAACAGCAGTAAATGGTGTCACTCCACAGACTTTGACCTGGCAATGACACATGGGCACTTGATCCTTTTACAAGGAATCAATTATGCATTTTCCTTTCCCTGACGAGCCGAGCGGTTCTACAGCACAGTCATGTTTCTGTAGTTTCAATAAATCCAACGCAGTGATCTGTCTTCTCTCTCATGGATCTCTTTTTAATTTCAGGAGTCGGAACTTCAGAATTCAGCTTTTAGTCATGTTATATATTTAATTCAAGCTGATTAACCTCATTGCCCAACCATCAGCTTCAGTATTTGGATCAAATGGCTCATGAAAAATAAGTTGTGCCGACGTCATTGGGCTACAGCTGCTATTTCACTGTGTCCCCATATATTCTGATGCTGATAATGTAAGATGAGACTCTGTGGCAGATCCACACAATTAGGGCTCAATAAAGATTGACTGGAACATCCCTACAATGGGACAAAATTTTACTATACTACATATAAAATACTGAATACTGGCATTTTGATGTCCTTTTTTTCTTCTCTGGTTTCTGAATGTTTTTTGGTTGGATTGTTGTTCAATTTTCTATATAATTTCTTCTTTTTCTTTTTTTTATCTATTTTCTAAACTTTGTCAGAAAAAATGTAAAAAATGTAAAAAAATATCTCAGACATTAAATACGACTCCATCTTGATAAAGGTTTGTGGAGCATGATAACAGAAGGGACAATGATGGAAGTAAGTTTAGCTCTTTGTAATTATATGATGTTCCCCTACTAAACATTACATCAAACAAAAATCTACACATTTGTTAAGCAAAAACCTGTCGTTTCTGAATGAAAACGATTCTGTTTAATCGAAATATTATTGAAAACGCCATATGGCCAAGTGCAGTATCTAAATCGCAAGTGCTGCAATTTTTTTGATAAAGGTAAAACATGTCCAACAGACCATAAATGAAGCATTGTAGTGCTACAGAAACGCCCCGGCCTACAATTCATATTCTCAGGACGTAAAGTAAGATGCTTCTTTGGTACAAGGCTCAACAAAAATCACATCATCATCTTTCTTATATTTTCTCCAGTAAAAGTGAAATGAAGAAAGTACCATTCGAACTGAAACCATGACTCATATTGCAATTGCTGAGTGATTTTTTTGCATGTCATTCAGCCCTATCTCTGCTGCATTTTCATTAGTGACATCAGTTGCATCAAAACAAGCACTCTCACACACTACTTTCTCCCTCAACAAATGAGAACGCACAATTACACCACATGATGCAGAGCAGCAGAAGCCGACAGTAAGGAAGATAAACCCAGTGAGAGTGAGTGAGACACACCGGCACAGGACAGTGTGAGAGAAAAGTTGTGTAAGGACAAATAAAAATGACTAAATGTCTCCTGAAGAAAATCCCACTGATGGTGGTGAGAACGAGAATGAGAACGAGAACGAGAACAAGAACGAGAACGAGAACGAGAACGAGAACGAGAACCCCAACTCTGCTCGCACCGGGAAAAGGTTCACATTCTGAGGTGTGTACGTTTTTTGGATTCAGACAAGATGATGAAAGACAAAAATCACGCACACTGTAAGCAAGCGGTGTTTCTAGCAGCGGCAGATGCAGAGTAACACCACAAAGTTTCACCTTAAAGGTCACCACACACTGCAAAATGATGAAGCTAGAAAGCTTAAGAAAACTTCAGCAGAAAATCTCTGCCGTCCGACCACACACGTCAGTGACAGAGACCATATACAGTGCATCGCCATCAGCATAGCCATCAAGCTCCCACAGACACAAGGAGAGAGAGGGGTTGTGTAAATAGGAGAAGTTGATTGTTAAGTGTGATTCATGAATTTGCATTTAAGTAGTGCTCCATTTCTGTTGTTCAAAGTTAATGTGCCGGTCCTATATCAGGCAACATCATAGTGTCTGTTGCGTTTCCTTGTCTCTCAGGTAAATCAGTGAAATACATGTTAATACTGAAAGAAAAACTGAGAGAGAGAATCATGATCTCATTTCTAAGCAACAAAATCATGATTCTCATTTTATCCATAATGGTGCAGCCCTATGATAATACCTATTCTCCAAACATTTTAAAATGAGTGCCACTGAGCTCAGGAGACATAATTAATAATAACAATAATAATAAATTAATAAATAGTGTTCTGTTACAACTGTCACACAAAAAAAAGAAAGAGAAAACGCTTTACAAATATGGAGTGTGCCTGTTTACATCCTGTAAAGCACCACCTAAAGCACTGTAAAATACCTCAAATAGGCTCTTTAATATTAAACTGAATGTGAGCATGAATGGTTGTTTCCCCCTAAGTGTCAGCACTGTGATAGACTGGCAACGTGTCCAGGGTGTAACCCGCCCTCGACTGATGTCAGCTGGGATTGGCTCCAGCTAAAAGGATAAACGGTATGGCTAATGAAGGAATGAATGAATAAATTTTAAACTGTCAGAGTAAAATGTTCAACAGAAGTGGTGAAGGCTACAGATAGCAGAGTGCTAACCCTGGATTAATATGTCAGAGTGTTGGATCAGTGATCCGGAGATGTAACAAATGTTCATTCCTTCTATTTGCTGTTTCAATATTTCTTTTAAGGAGTCTGTTGAATTTCATTTTTTTTTTCCTATTTACCTAATTTTGTTGGATCTTACTACGGCTGAAATCGTGACTCATATCCCAATTGCATCAGGCCTAAATCTTACGAAAAGGTTTTACAGAAGCTGTTCTTTTTTCCATCGTATCTTTAAAATGTGCATTTGAACCTTTTTATTTGTATTTTTGTTTTAATATTTTAAGTGAACTTATATATAAACTTTTGTGATAATCGATTAATCACATCTTTTTTAACAAAATATCCCCATATTCTCTTCTTTAAGTCTCCCAAATGTGAAAATTTTGACCTTATACAGGCCAAATGCTTTATCCATAATGAAAATAATGTATAGTAGCTGCAGCCATTCTAAAGTATTGTATGTTACATTTTATGTATGAAAGGATCCAGAAAAAATTAAGATTATCAAAACATTATTACTATCATCAGCAGTTACACTTTCTATGTTAATGACCCCAGATGAATTACATTAGACTACAAACTCCATTATGACATTAGGGCTGTAAGTATACTGTGCCGCAGTATTTTGCTATGCAAACTGTGTGCAGAGTGAGTTGTGAGTGTGTCACTGATCACTGATCTCTCTGCCTCCAAGATAAAGCTCCATCCCACAGATGGAGCTTTCATTTAAAACATGAAGTGGATTTATGGCTCACTTTGACTGCAGAAATGGTTTTACAGTGTCTTTTATGCCCAATCAAGCAATAGGTGAGTTCCCCAAATGACCTTTGGAGGCAATTTGCTGAGACAACAAGCACAGACTCCACCAGCTACAGTTTCTCTTATTCTACTGTGGACCTTCCAATGTCTGTAACTGTGAATTCATGAATAATACAACATCTTTAATCCAAATTAGAAGGTTTTTAAACTTTACACCTTTATACAACTAAAGCAGGTACAGATTTGTGTGTTTGTCCTCATGGTAACTGTACGTCTGCCTTCTGTTTCTGTCTTACAGTTGACATTATACGTATCCGTGTCATCTGTGTGTATAATTTTGCCTTGTAAAAGGCAAGTGAAATACAGCATCCAACAAGAGGAGTTGTTGGACGAATAGTTTTTTAGAGAAAGTTGATCCAACCAAATTCAGACATTATCTTACTGCCAACATTCTCATTAAGACATGAATTAGATTTCATAATATTTTCTATTATGAATCTGAATGCAAAACACAGAGGTTTGTCTTTTCATTTTAAACAGTGTATTGTTTGCATGTTGTACTGAAGTGTAGAGGGAAAGGTATTTTGATTGTTATTTATTTTTATTTATTACTGCTATTCTGCTAATCGTGTGGATGGTTCGCTAATCTACACTATGGGAGTTACTGGACACATTTCTCCAAGTGGCTAAATAAAGTATTTATCTATCTATCTTTCTATCTATCTATCTTTTAAAAAACTGTGAGTATTAATACTGTTTTAGTCTAATTTTGTTATAAATACTGTTTCAGTATCATATATCACCAGGCCTTTAGACCAGGCTGAGTTGTTGTGAACTTCAGTACGTTGCATTTCGTGTAACATAATCAAAACCGCCATCCTAAAGAGTCTCAGTATGCTTTTGCCTGTGTAGTCCCCAAAGCCACCACAGCAGATCATGTTTCTTTTATCATTAACATTCAGTCACACTGGATTCAGACAAGACAGCAAAAAGACATGATAAAAAAGCCATAAACAGGATTCATAAGGTGTCTTTGCTTCCTGGTGCCATTAACAACCCTCATGTTTCTCAACCAAACTGACCATCACGTCACTACCAGCTGGCCACTGACACTAAGATGACAGCATGACTTGGCTTTCATGCTACATTTGGTACTTGATGTTGTGGACTTTGGACATATTAAACTATCTGAAAACTGAATGACCTTAGCTTAATTGATGAAATAGTTTCCTAGTGGCTTTTGTGGTAATTTACAAGCTGACACTAGTTCGCTACCTTAGTTAGAGTTCAGACTGAGAGCGTCTTGCTAGCTTAGCTAACTTTACCATATTATTTTACTATCAAGACAGATACCAACCCATAAAACGTCCTCATTCATAAATCAGGAAGAGGACGTGGCTGTGTAGTGGTGTGCCGTTTGTTAAGAAAACTACCCGGTAGATAATCTGTCCACGGCCCTCCTCCTGCCTGGTTGACACTGTCTGGTGATGCTGCAGAGCTGTCAGTCTTAGCTTAGCTAGCCTAGCATACTCTGCGCAGCTAGCATAGCGGCTAACGTTACCTTGGTCTTGACATGGCTGGTGTCCCACGTCGGTCTCAGCTCTTTAATGAGCTTCATCGCCCCCTCCGTTACGTTGTGTTCGTCCACGAAAATGGGAATTTTTCTAATGACCGGCGACCCGACGGGCACATGTATCTGCGTCTCCATCCTGCAGCCGTTTATCTGAAACGTTAATCTCCGAGCCCTTCACAGACACCTCCAGAAATTGCAACATACAAGTGTTGCTTGGTTTATAAGTAGCTAAATGTTGATGTGTTTTTGTGAATAGACTGAAGTTCTGCTTGATAGATTTATCTTGCTTGATAGCTGTTGCAATAACGATGAGTAAGAAGCTGTGAAGATGACCGATGAAACTGCCGGGTAGAGATGCTCGCTGCCGGTTTTCTTGGGAGCAGTCAGCCAACTGTACCATTTCCTCCTACTTAGCTCCACCCGCCCGGGATCATCCGATTGTACAGCGGGTTGAGACTCACCATAGCCGAACACGCCCCTTTTTGTCCGAGTGTGTCCGAGTGAAACCCGAGTTCAGCCGAATTAATATAGACACTGCTTTTATGAGACTATTAGACCAATTACAGTGAATTCATTTCTTTCTTTCTTTTATCTCTCTCTTTTATTGAACAATTTTATTTATTCATTCATTTATTTTTTTTATCTTGATATTTGGTGTGTTATTTAGGCTTGTAATGGGTGCTGTAATTGTATAGGCTACATGCTGTGTGTGTTTGCATATATGATTGCTTATGTTGGAAGTGGGGTGCATTACGAATGCCAGAAACCACAATGAAGATGTGTGAACGCCAAGGAATAGGCTACATGATTTACTACTGAATATACTGTGCAAGAAAACATAGTGTGTAGCCTGTATGGGACTGGCTCAGTGATAAGCAGCAAAATGACCACCAGTCAGTTCATTTTATTTTTGTTTCATATAAATATGAACAGAACATCTTTGAGTTCTTGCCTGTTGATTGGACAAAACAAGACCTACCATGAGAAGACATCACCTTAGACTCTTGGGAACTGGGAACTTGCAATGGACATTTTTCACTATTTCCTGTGTTCTTTAGTCCCACACCCCAAATCCTAAAGATATTCAGTGTACAGCCTAAGACATTGAAGACGATGGAACACGATGGAATATTTGGAATCAATTGAATTGAATGTGAACACAGCTGCCAATTAATGTTCTGTCCATCTACTAATCAATTAATTGAGTAATCGTTGCAGCTCCCGTACACATCTTACAAAACAAATGTAATATAATATTCTAGAAAGTAGCATAAAAATGATTTCACCCATTATCAATTTTCATGAACTGCCACTTTAAATAGACACGGTTAAAACACAACACAGTATAGATGGAATGAAAAGGACGTGATCTGCATGAATCCAACATTATGGCAGTACCAACTCTCAGCCAAGTGGTGGCAGTATGGTAATAAAAATGTATGTGATGTGGTGCAACTGGTGGAAACCCTGATGGATGATTCCTAGGTAGCCTGTAGTATTGATATCAATATATTTAAAAAAACTCAGTTATTTTACAGCTGTGAGCAGAGAGATTTGCTGATATATGTTTTACACATCACTCTGACTGTTGTTTGAGAAGTTTCCTAACTCTGTCACTCTGTCAAGATCCACTTCAGACCAAAGATCTCCAGTTTGTTACAGATTACATCTCAGGAGTTCCCTCTTTGGACACTTTCGTTGTCAGTCTGGTGAGACATAGCTGAGATGGTGCAAACCCACTTTTATGCATTCCCAAAACTCCAACAGAATTTATTAGTGCTGAATATAAATAAATTGGAGAAAATATAATATATTGTGTCACATAGTGATATTGGGATTATGTCATTCCATCTTCATTTTTTGTGTATACAATACTGGGTTAAAAATGTCTGGTCTTTACCATCCAATATTTCAGAAACTCTCTCCGTGAAGACAGAACATACCTACCTCCAAGCCCAGGAGTTGACTGACAGTGCTGTGGCTCCTCCATCCTGGCCTCCATCATGATCCTGCTGTTCTTCACTCAAGTCTCATGAGAGCCAGTGAACAGCCGGTGAACAATGAGATAAACAACCACGGACGTCCGGACTCAGTCAATTTACTTGTTGCATGTATTGCTAGAGGCAATCAATGGTGTGTGTGTGTGTGTGTGTGTGTCTCTGTGTGTGTGTGTGTACTAAGTTAGAATACATAAACAAGTCCACAGGAAGTTTGGAGGATTTTTGTCACTTTGTTTACTGTTTGGGAGCAGAGAGCCATGACTGGGCCTTCTTCCCATTACTGTACATTCTTATTACAGCAGCCAAAGTCCTGATGCATTCATGCAATACCAAACTTATTACCCCAGCGCTGAATCCTACCCCACCCCCTTTATCATATATTATCTCTACCTATAAGATCTTTATTTTCTGTCTTTATTTTCTATCTTTGTCATATTTGTATAGTGACACTGATATATATTGGCAGAGGCGATAAACTTATGATATTGGTACTATTACTGTTATCACTGAGTGGCACAACACATGATGTAATTTACAGGTTTGCTGTATTCTTCTGAATAGTGTTTTTTCATGATGATGCACTCACGTATTTGATGTCAAGTTTTGATAAGAACTTGGAACTGTGGAACTGATCCTCAAAACACTATTCTATGACATCAGCATTCTATGGCAGGTATTTACTGTATACACAGCAGCAAGTGTTCAGACAGACATTTCACTTCGGACCTTCAGACAGGTGACACGCCAATCTGAACAGAAGAAGAACTCTTTGAAAAGAAGAGAGAAATCTTTGAGGGAACAAGACCAAACATCACTGACAGTGACAACAATGGCCTCTCAAGGCTTTAGCTCCAAAAAGTGGGCAGACGAGCTGAGGAACCATGATATTGAAAACGAGGCTCTAACCAACTTGAAGAACAGAGGGAGTCTCACGCTAAAAGGGAGAGAGAGGACCAGGAGTTGATCCAGGGGATGAGGAGTGATCTGGCTGCCATTTGTCATGTACGGGAGGGCCTGAAAGCAAAGCTGAGAGAACTGGCCTCAGCCAACTTTGAGTTTATTACCATGGTTGTGATCAAGCTCAAAGTCGAGGAAGAGATCAGCCAGACCCTCCAGGCAGAAAATGCCAGGATCTCTACCAGGCTGGAGGCAAAGACAAAAGACAACGAGTCTCTGTCAAAACAGGTAGAGAATCTCACCTCTGAGCTCCAGAAGGAGCAGCCCTTGAGGCTGGAGCTGAATGAGCAGTTGCAGCAAGAAAAATAAAACCATCTGCAGAAACTCGAAGCAGAATATTGTGCTGAAAAGGTGAGAGATTACAGGCAGCCGATCCAGGGGCTGAAACCAAAGGAGGACCTGACCTATAGGTTGGTCGCTGTTTGTAAACACACAAAGTTGGCCCCTCCTCCTCAGCTCTATGAGCGAGAGAGAGAGAGAGAGAGAGAGAGAGAGAGCAGCGGTGGTCCAGCAAGCCAGAGAGTGATTTAAGAGAAGGAGCTGCATTAGTGAGAACAAAGCAGTGAATCAGGGAAATCAAAAAAGTAAAAGTCCATTCCTAAGGATGATTCTGATGATTCAGATTTTATATTGAAATTAATTCATTTAAATTATCTTTCCAACAAAATTCTTTACAAAGCCCACACAAGTTGAAAGAAGGTTTCACAGGGTGTGCGGGCTGTCCAGATTTAGATAATGGACTGTATGCATTATTGGCTGTATCTTCCTGCAAATGATCAAATTAGAGGCCTCCATGTTTCCCCTGAAAAGCTGAGTGTCAAAAGATTTCCTGCTCCAAAATTCAGATAAAACTGAGATGCTGGTTGTTGGTCCAGCAGGGTTAGGGTTAGTGTTAGACACCAGTTTAAATATGTAACAGTAATCCTCGACAACTGTGTGATTTCTCAAAACAGCCAATAACCTTTAACCCATTAAACTTAATCCTAGCCTCTGTTTTGACAAGCACATTAAAGACATTACAGAGACCACCTTTCACCTACATAACATAGCTAAAATTTGGTCTTTTCTGTCTATGGCAGATGCTTTAATTCACACCTTTGTTTCATCCAGTTTGGATTATTGTAATGTTTTGTTTTCAGATCTGCCACGTGTTCGTATTATCTTCAAATTATTCAGTTTGCGGCAACTAGAAATGTAACTAAATCCAGAAAAAGGGACCGCATTACACCAAGTTTAGCTTCCCTTCATCGACTCCTCATACTTGTCCGATCGAAATTCAAGGTGTTTCTAATGACAAACAAACTCATACAAGAGCTTGCCCCCTCATATCTGTCTTATCTCCTTAACCTTCATACTCCATCCCATGCTCCTCACTTTTAGAATACAGGGCTCCTGTCTGTCCTCGGAGTTAAAAAGAAGTCAGCAGACTGCAGGGACTTTTCCTATCGTGCACCCTTCCTCTGGAACAACCTCCCTGCTGACATCAAACTCTCATTGAAGTCCGAACTTAAAACTCATCTTTATGCCTTAACTTTTAGCTAGGGGCTTTTTCTCTGATGGTCTCAGTCTCTGTGAAACCATGACACCTACTGTGCACACACACACTGTGCATACATACACACATACTTATACACACATCACACACACATACTTATGCACACACATATTTACATACTTATGCACACAAATATTTACATACTTATGCACACACATACATACTCAAACAGACACACACACACAAAGGCATGCGCACCTAGGTGACTTCTTATAGGGAACGCATAATATGCTAAATTGTGACAAATAAAACAATGTTTACAAATGACTAATGGCTACTTTTAGTTTAACAGGACATAGTGGGATGTGTTTGTGTGCACAGTCCCACCCAGACACTTGTGTGTGAATGTTTCTACCTGTAACCACATGCCTCCTCTGCTCTCCCTAAACTTCATTCAGGCTCTTCACTGGCTCTCAGGAATGCAGATAAATCTGGTGTGTGTGTGTGTGTGTGTGTGTGTGTGTGTGTGTGTGTGTGTGTGTGTGTTGATAGCTGTGGATGCGTGAGAGGGTAGATGACCGAATGTGTACACGTCTCAGCCATGACCTTGTACACAGGTGGGACAGCTCAAAGGTAGAGCAGTGCTCCTTCGATATCTGAGGAATGAGGAAATGTTTACATTGTCACACACTGGAGTGCTATTTACAACGTCTCTCACACACACACAGAGAGAGAGAGAGAGAGAGAGAGAGAGAGAGAGAGAAAGAGAGAGAGAGATCATAAATCACATCTCCATTGAAAGAGTGAGCTCCGAGGCTGCTTCTTGTCCAACTTAATTTGTCATGTCATGGTTCATGTTGACACACTCCTCATCTATCACAGATTGTAGGATTACAGTGAAGTGGGGTGTTTGGGC